ACAAGATCTCACTGTGTTCCCCAGACTGATCTCAAATGTCTAGTCTATAGTGATCCTACCACTGCAGCCTCCCAAAGTGCTAGAATTACAAGTGTGAGCCACAGGGCCACCCATGATCATTTTTATATTATAAAGGCCTATTTTTCAAGGTTAACCTTTTAGGCCAGGTACTGGATTTTACAAATATTCTTTTAATTCTCAGAATTATCTTGTAGAAATATAATACTTTTTCCACTTAAAAAATAAACTAATAAGTAAATATCCATGGTCACATAGTTATTCAATGTCAACCTCAGAAATCAATAGCAATTCCAATTTCAAAGCCCTTGGTCACATGTCCCACGCTTCCATTTAAAATAGCATCAGATTAGCCTAGAAAATTTAAGTCTATAATCATTATGAAATTAACAAATCCTAATATTTATTGATCATTAAATAACATTGTCTTCTTTATTTAGAAAATAAAAGATGATTTAAAAATCTAAAAACTTCTACTCTACAATTCTAAAAGTCAATGAAAACACAAAATATTCTTTATTAGATCCACATACAAAGGACACATTCCTAAAGTAATGGATTCAAATTATAGCATCTTAAAAAATCCATGAGTTAACTATTACACAGAAGCAATATACAATATATTCCTAATAATTCATTTAAAATACACAATAGTTATCTTCATTTAATTTGTCTTTAGAGACAAGTTAACAAGCAGCCGTCTTCTGGCAACTCCAGGTTAGTTTTAATAATGTGTCTCTCTTTTGAAAAACAAATTCCATGTTGCCACAGCAATTCATAGTAACTGTTTTATATAGAAAATGGGAGTGTAGGAGTTTGCAGTTCAGTCTAAGATTTTACCAACGTAAACCATATATGTAGAGTCAACATTCAGATTGTCTGACCTCACTCTAGTCTTCTATCTATTAGAACCATGATTATTAGCTATTGCTAATAATGTTACCTATAGAATCAAAATGTTTTCCGGAAGTGATGTAGGTATAATCAGAGGTTACAGATTTTTTTCCCTTTGATTATTTCTTCCATATACAAGTCGGACATGCTTGTTCCCTCCTGTTAACATGATACTGCTGGCTAAACCAGTACCAAAGTAGCCTTGTATTCATTCATTCGACATTTTTTAAGAGTCTACTTTGTGCCAATTCTTAGTATGTATTTCTAATGTGCACATTTCTCTCGATTTCTAGTAATTGTCCACTGTGTTTCTGTCTGTATGCCCGTCAAATAAAATAGCTTCTTAACTTACATTAAAAAGGCTGGTTGTGTCCCTAATCTTTTAAGTAAATCAAAATAAGGACAATATTATATAAATCTTCATTCAGCTCCCAGTGATAATATGTACCATTTTTAAACTACTAAAATTTATATGAAATATTATGTACACATCAGGAAAGAACATCGGTGAAACTATATGTACATTCCCAGCAATAATGAATAATTCTTGCATGAAATGGCTGGTATAGGTTTTGAAAAGGAAAGCAATACATGAATCATTAATCAAAATGCTTTATAAAATAAGCCATCACAACTCGGAAACTAATGAAGTTCTATCAGGATAGGATACGTTTGCCTGCAGTTAACTGTATTTGGGCTGTCGCAGCACAATGTATTGAAAAAAGCAGTCATTAGGCCCACGTTCCCCTCTTCTACATGGAAAAAATATTTATCGCATCTAAAATCACCTTCTAATGCACTTCGAAAAATACTTTTAGGATTGCTAATGGCTAATTCCTTTAGTCTAAAAATAAAGTGAAAATGTGATTTTAATGTATTCTGAGCAATTTGTCCCTAAAACTTTGAAGTTAGCAACAAATTTCCAAATTACTATGCTGCTTTCTTTCTATCTGCTTATTGGTTCAGCGAATGTTTCACTTAACTGACAATTGTCAAGGTTCTCCTAGCTGTATAAAATGCCTTAAGAGAAAAATGCAGAGTGACTTACGTGAAAAAGAATCAGTTAGAAATAACGCAATACAGCCTTGGACTTACAAGAGTTTTTTTCTTACTATCTTAAAGACAAACATCTTAGAGGTATATAGAATCAGCTGAACCGTATGTCCAGTATCTTCTGGACAAAGAAATGACAGAAGGCACAGAGAACACAGGAAAGTTCACCTCCACATGTTTTCTCCTTAGGATTTGAGCAGAAATCTCCTTTCATAGACTTAAACTACAGGGGTGGGGTCAGTATACACCTAGGCCTATCTTCCGTATTTCACCTGAGCTTTGATCGTCAAAGATCAGAAAGTAACATAAAAATCTCAGTCATTGGGATTTATAACATGAATGAATTGACCCATTACCTAATTTTAGGAATGATTCTGTCTGTATTTAACCTCTTTAAACTTCATATTTATTATCCAAAATATGAAGATTAAAATACTTGTCTCAGAGGGTGATTGTGAGAATTTAAAACACAATAACACAGACATGACTACGCTGTGGTCAGCACTGTCCCTACCAGGAAGGTAGAACACAGCCAGTAGTAGACCTCCTCTTCCTTCCTCCTGCTGACTTAGACAAAACAAACACACACACCCAGCTGGACAATTTTTTAAGAGCTTTTTTTCCAAAAACTAAGTTTAAAACAAGATGATTATACTAGGTAATGCTCATTTTAATGGAATTTCATTTCACTAAAAACTTCATTTCCCAAGATTATCCATCATTGGAGATTATATTTACTTAGCTTAATTAATCCTCAAATTATTACAAGGTAAATAGGTAACAGAATGTCATTATTTTTTCCCTCAATCCATAGACTACACGTGAGTGTCCAATCGTCTTTCCCATTTATTCCTCTCACACAGCAAGATACTATGGATTCAGAGAGGGGAATGAGGCAATTAAATTTGAAAACTGCAGTTTCCAAGTGGTAATTTATTATGAATATGCCTTTCAGGGATGTTAAGTTTATTCTCGTTTTTATATGCCTGGAAGGCAGAGTTTGAGAAAAATCAACAAATGCATGCATCATATACCTGGCATTAGTACTATTACAAATTCTGGCAAAGAGAATTTTTCTGTGATAATGGTACAAAGTCTATGAGGATTATTTCTATCACTCCGCTGCCTTTGTTGCCAATTAAAGTTTTACTAACCCATTCCAAACACTTGAGGAGAGGGATTAGAACTAAGGTCATGTTGTCCAGATTTCTTGGCTGCTACAATATACCTGGAGAGGCTGGGCAACCGCTCATACAGTTGAAGGGTTTCCAGACTACCGCTGGTTCTGGTCCTTTGTTGCTAACCGTGTAGGCAATGATTGCAGAAAAACAAAAGTTTCACTGTTTCTTAATCTCATACAAAATGCATTCTTACCACAATGCCACTAGGTGGTTGAGTTTGGGGATTGAAGAAAAAGAATAATTGGCTTATTTAGTGAAGAACGTGAAATTGGGCCAAAATGCCCTCAAGTAGAATTATGCTCCTCAATTTAATTGCTACAAGACTGAGGTGTAGAGAGTTTATCCAGTCTCAAACGTATTGTGACTTAAAATATTTTTCTTTCTCTGCATTTGAGAAAACATTTATATATTGCTAAGTTCTTTCCCCTAATTTAAGACATTCCTCTCACAAGCCTTTAAGAGTATTAAAGTACCTTTCCGCTGTAATGTCATTTGCATTGAAAAGCCATAATCTTGCTTAAAAAAAAAAAAACACTAGATTTGTTCTATCAAAGTAAATGAAAATTTCTTTAAGGTGAAATCTTCTAATGTAATGTAATGAAATAAAACTGGTCTCTCAAAGTAGCACTCACAGACTCAGATTCTACTTTCACTACTAAGCAAGTTATAGGATCTGGAGCTTAATTTTTGTCAACAACTTTGGACACCAACTACTATTACCCCATTTAAATAACAGGGAAAATGAAATCTAAGGTTTACAAACTATGGTTTCCAATTCATTACCTTGTAAGTGACATTTATCATATATGTTTTGGATTAAAAAAATAGTGGAGTTTAGTCTTTATCTTCCACAATGCCTAGGGCAGAGGCTGTGCTGAGTAGACAAACCAAGTTAAGAGTCCCAAACCCCTGAAAATTGTTTTGACTTTGGATCACTCTGAAGTAGTCACACTTGGGTTTATAATGAATCCTTCATAGGACAAATATAAATGGATAATTAAAACCCTTCATTTGCAAAAATCCAAATAATGCTAATTTAGCAGTTCATTTTATAATATGCCAAAACTTAGTACTCTGAAAATAAAATACAATGTAGACATAGAAAACATGTGCAAGATTTTTTCCCACTGAACTTAACAATACCCAATATTGAGGCAATTTGATCAGCTTCTAATAAGTTAAACCAATTATTATTGCCCTTGGGCACATTTCTTTAATTAGAATTTATTAACTCTTCTAAAAATTGCCTATTGGAAAATACAGTTTTGTATAGACTTCTTAGGAAAAAGAAATACTAGGGCAAAAATTAAGTAGTGAAATTTAAACCAAGTAGTACTCAGCTGAATTCTAGTTTGAAGATTGTAGGAGCACAGTCATTTATACCCTCATGTTAATATAAAATATATTTTAAAAAATAATAAAAATCTGGCATCTAGCAAGTTTTTGTAACAGCTAATGTTTTAATCAATGGTTTTGTCAGAAATGTATGTACATGTAACAAAATGAGAGAGAGAGAAGACTAGGTAAAAACACAATTTGACAAAATCCTACATCTCACTACCCTTGTACAATAATTATATTCATTTTTTCTATATTAGTTTCAATATATGAAACTTCTTTTTTGTCATGAACCAAGTCAGCTGAAGGGTGTTGATTAAACAGAGCCTGGAGAGAGAGCACCACCTAGTCAGGGGTACTTAGTATTTCCACCTTAAAATCCAAATATTTCAAACTAGACTCATTTTCTTACCCCACTATCTGTTCCTCTTATACTCACTATTGTGTCTAATGACCATTAGTAATTCAGCTGGCCACTCCTTAACACCCTCTTCTCCACCACCCCCAAACTAAGTCGCATGCACCTGGTTGATGAAGTTCATCAGTCATACCCGTAAAGTAGTGATTAAGTCCACATTCCATCTCCTAAGCCAGTGTGTGAGTTCAAGCCTTCATTACCTTTCACCTGGACCACTGAAACAGCTTCCTAATTGATATCCCCTTTCCAAGTGATTCTCCACAGGGTCCCAGAATTGCCTTTATGAAAAATGTACTAGAGGCTGGGCGTGGTGGCTCACACCTATGATCCTAGCATGCTGGGAGAACGAGGCTAGTGGATTGCTTGAGGTCAGGAGTTCAAGGCCAGCCTCAGCAAGAGTGAGGGAGGCCCCATTTCTATTGAAAATAGAAAAATAGTGGGACATGGAGATAGGGTCTATAGTCCCAGGCGCTTGGGAGGTTGAAGCAAGAGGACCACTTGAGCCGAAGAGTTTGAGGTTGCTGTGAGCTATGATACCACACACTCTACTGAGGGTGACACAGAGACCCTGTCTCAAAAAAAAAAAAAAAAATGAAGTGAAATGAAAAAATTTACTGGACGTATCACATATATATGTAAAAACTTTCAGGAACATTTCTTATTGAAAAATAATTCTAACACTTATAAAGGTAAAAAGGTTCCCCAAATCTGGCACCAAACTCCCTTCCCACTTTGAGTTCCACAATCACCCTGCCATGGAGGTAAGTTAGACTCATCTGTTTCCCACGTGTTGATTGTTTCTGACACATCAACTACCCTGCATACAGCTGTCCCCTGATGCATCTCTAAGCATACTTTAAAACTGAGTTTTCGTATGAACCCTTCTCTGAGACATTTTTAATTCCTGCCTAAAAAGGAAACTGAGTGCCTAATCTTTGGTGCTCCCAAAGCACTTATTTTACATTTCTCTTCAAAAATAATGAACCAATAATTAATGAACCATCTCTCACTAAATTCCAAATTCCGTAAGAATAGAGGCCTTGCCTTACTCATGCTTTTATCTCCTTTCCTCGAAATTCCATGACACAAATACCTAGATGATGAATTATTAGGTAGTGAATGAATAATTATTAAAAAAGATCAAAGGGTCCCAAGTAGCTCACTTGCTGGTGTAGTTTAAAGGTTCAATCTGGAGTTCAATATGCAATAAACAGAAAGATGTGAAGCATCAGGAAATGAGGCCCACATGAGAAGCTTTAGGATAGCCAAAATTAGATGTCTTTTGGTTAATTCCAAAGCTAGTCTTTCAAATGTTAAATGTTTAGAATTCTATTATCTACTGTTAAAATAAGACCCAGAGTTTCAAGTATAATGCTTTTCTTAAATTTTTATTTTGTCACATGATTTCAGAGCATTATCAAATATTATGCCTTGTTTAGATTAGAGACTCAATGGTTAAGGACTTTCTTAATCAATAGCTCTTTGTTAACAATTATGCACGAGTATAATAAATAACATTTTTACCATTATTTTGTGTTATCTTAAATGGAAGTGTTCTGTCATTTGAGAACAGATCTGATCTCTATTCTGTCCTACTTTGGATGTTACGTGTTTCATGACTTTACTTCCAAGTGGCTTTTATCTATTTTAATTATAGTCAGTTACAAAAGTTTAATTTAATTGTATATATACTTGATAACCGTATCTATAAATGTTTCTAATTATTATCTTAGTAGATTCATTAACCCCAGCACAGTTTCCAGGCATAAAGGGAAACTTCAGAATTTCATATTTTTAAATCCCAGCAGATGGCAGTACAATGCTTGCTTTAAGATGAACAAATAAAGAAAAAAATGTTATTGATTTAAAAATGTCAATACTTTAAACTATCATTCTTCTACTAGTCAAAGACAAAAATATTCTGAATTTCCATATTGATTGATCTGATAAATAAAAGAATTTTTTAAATCTTGTGGGCGTATAAGAATATGTTTTATTTTTATTATTACACTTAAATTTCCCAAGTTAATTTGTTGAAGTGGAATGTGCTTGTTGGTTCCTACTTAGGCAGGCAGAAGTAAAGCAAGTAAAGGACAAAACCGACTGAGTGGTGCAAATTGAACATACACTGATCAGGATATGGCATGGAACCATGCGGGCTGTGCATCCTACCTCCTAAGAATCCCTGACCCAAGTAACAAAGAGTTATTAAATGCGAACAGCCATTGGGTTTCTTCTCTGCTTAATATTGCAATACACCGAAAGTTTCAAATGTTTTGTATTTCTTACTTTGAAAATGGAGTTTGTTGATGAATTTTACTCTGTAAAACGAAAACCTTGACTTAAGCCACTATACTTTCAAATAATAAGTTTATGAATAAATGAAGTGGCTACTAGATGCTGCAGATAATGCAACAAATTTTCCATAGCTTGCTCCACATAACATCCATCACTAGGACATATAAATTCTAAGGATTCAGTATACAAACTACGATGTTAATTACCAGAGTGAAAGTCAACCAATAAACATTCACATCTAACATCAATGAAAAAACGTTTTCAAAATTTAAAATTCTGAATTTTATGAATGATCAATTCAGCAAATAAAATATTTATGATAAAAATTGAAGTATATGTTTGTAAGTACCTTAACAACACAAAAGAAAACATAGTAAATGTCCAAACATTGTTCATATCTCACCCATTGGAAATTAAATAATTTTGATTTCTCTTTAAGGAAATGTATCAATGGAGTGCCTTCCTGGTTCAAGACCTTGTGCTGATGCTGTAACGTGTATAGCCATTGACTTATTTTGTGATGGAGAATTAAACTGTCCAGATGGTTCTGATGAAGACAATCAAATCTGTGGTAAGTTCATTCCCTGCCTGTCTCCCACACCTTCTTTTTCATGCTCCCTCACAGTACATACACACACACACAAGAATACCTTCAGATACCTAAAATTTCTAAGAATGAGCTAGTCCAATAGTCATTTTCTAATACAATGTTAAAATTTTTTAAATTGCATTAATGTTTTCCTAAACTTTTTTTTTTTTTTATTGAATGGTAACTGTGTACAATGATGCACTTTGGGGGTACAGTGTGGTGTTTTCACACACAACCCAAGACTTAATGTAACATTAAAAATGTTCGCTAGGCTCGGCGCCCGTGGCTCAAGCGGCTAAGGTGCCAGCCACATACACCTGAGCTGGCAGGTTCGAATCCAGCCCAGGCCCGCCAAACAATGATGGCTGCAACCAAAAAATAGATGGGCATTGTGGCGGGCGCCTGTAGTCCCAGCTACTAGGGAGGCTGAGGCAGGAGAATCTCTTGAGCCCAGGAGTTTGAGGTTGCTGTGAGCTATGATGCCACAGCACTCCACCCAGGGTGACAGCTTGAGGCTCTGTCTCCAAAAAAAAAAAAAAAAGTGTTCATTAAACAGAATACCATTTGTTGACTATGGAAAGGATACCGTGCTTAGCAATGTCTTTTATGAATGTCAGGGGAGAGTGGCGATATTTTTCATCCCTTATTTATATTAAAGTTCACCAAACTCTTCTGAATTTGACTTGTTACATACACATGCTCACTTCTTCCTAATGAATTATCATATTTTTTCACCATCACATTAGTCGTTTTTTGGTGTGTGCCATTTCAACACCATCTAACTCAATGAACAAGCACCATTTTTAAATTGTATTGCTGTTATTCACCTCTGCTCACTCTGTGAATACTGGAAACTAGTTACCAACAGGAACTCAGAGTCTCATGAGTAAGACATCTGTGTTTTATCTGTACATTTTGGCATCTGTTTTGAGGATTCATAGTTATTTTATTTTACTTCATCTTATTATTCGATACTTAAGTAGGACTTACTATACACCAAGCATGGTTTTAAATGGTTTAAACATATTTACCCTTTGGCTTCTTTTTGTACTTGGGTTCAATTTAGAAAATTTTATCAGAAAGTAGCATCTAAATGTGTAATTTATTGTTGGATGTAACATAACTAAGAAGATTACCACACAGAACTACAGAGGTCAACTGAAAGTCTAAAATATAAAATGGAAATTTCAGAAATAAACAATTCATAAGTATTAAATTGCAGAACATTCTGAGTATTGTTACATTTGTTCTATTTTATTAATAGTTACTGTTACTAATGTCTTACTGCACTTAATTTGTAAATTAAATGTTATTACAAGTTCAATACTATTCATACTTTCAGGAATCCAATTGAGAGTCTGGGCACATAACCACTGTTGATGTGGGAGGACGACTACTGAATTTAGATAAGTTAGTTTAAAAATATATAGTTTTAAAACTATAGCTTAGTTTTAAAAAATTAAACAGAAATAATGAATTGCACACATTTTGATATGTTCAATAATCAGTTTTGGCTCCCTGCAATTAGTTCCCGAATTGTATTAAAGATGAGTTCCTCTTTGCTGCACTTTGCCTTTCAATTATTTATTATACTGTTCTCATCTTGCTTGATATTAATTAAGGATGAATGTTCCAATAAGGACCAACGTTTAAAATTTACCTATCCACTTGGTATATGCTTTAAAAGGCAGGCAGTGGGTCTGTTAAGGCCACTGTGCTACAGACACTTCCACTGAGCGATCCCACTTCAAATGTTCTTGGATAAAATTCAAACCTTTAAAGTTTAACTACACACTTTGAAGTGCACTCAGAACATATTGGAAGAAAGTGCAGGCTACAGAATATTTTTTAATCTATTTTATATAACGAAGTTACTCAAAGAAGAAGAAAGCCACCTTCTTTTTTTGCTGCAGTGTTCAGGCTTCCACACAACCTTCTCAGGAGGAAAATGATCCAAGTCTGCCATCGTGAGGTAGCAAAGGTGAAGCCGATTTCTATTTTAAAAACAATCATTTCTGTCAAGCTAGACACAGAACTTTAAGCCTATATAATGATGATCAATACCTTTAAATAGGGAAAATGGCATTATTAATAAATTACTAATAGGTAAATAATCAGATCATGTATCATTATTTGGTCCCTACCCTCATTAAATTTATAATTTTCATGATAAATTAACACCTGGGTACTGTGTATCAAAAATAGCTGTAAGTGTATCACGGAAGTGTGGAAACTTGTGCTAAAATAGGGTTGAAGGCCATGAGTTAGTTTTCTGAGCACCATAAACTCATGAGATGAACCTCAGTATTAGAAATAAATTAGTTATCTAACTTCCCTTAAAAACATAATCAAACTGCATTATTATGTTTCACTATTAGGAAGGTTTTGTTTTTACGGAAACTTAGTAGCACCCGAACTTCCATGTTATTGTACATCTTAAGCAGATTTTCCATTTTCTTGGTTCTTTTATTTGTAGTTTACAGTTAGTAGTATACCAGTTTGGGTAAGGAATTTTAATCACTTTCAAGATAAGGGAGTGGAAGAATCAGGCAATAACTCTAGTTTTATTCAAGGATAATTCAAGAATATAAGTTTTCTTGTCCATTTTAATCACTGACCCAAAATCCTACTGGACTTCAGTAGAAACTCAAACTTTCAGTGGTACCGTTTCCACATGAGAGTCCTTTCCCGTCAATCTGCGTTCACAGAAAAATTCTTAAAATTTAATTAAGAGGATCTTCTCTATAAGAAATTAACCTTTGCTCTCACTCTTTTATTTTTCTTGCTCCAGCTGTGAGCTCTAATTCTCGTTGTGTTATTAATAGAATCACATTAATGTTGACTTATGCAGCTTCCTCTTTTAGTCTTTAGCTATTTAGGTTTACACAACTTACAGCTGACTATAGCTGAACGGAGAGTTCTGTAAATTGTTTTTCTCTTCTGATTAGAATTGCATCAGCAAGAAAAGTTCACTTTTTAGCTGACCTCTGGGAAGGAAAGACGCTGACTCACAGCCCTTAGGCCACTCCTCAGGATTTTCTGGCAGTTGGCAAATGTCCTCCGAGTTTGCGTGCCTCATACATATGTGCATAAGAGACCTGGGGTGGAGATCGAGTTTGATTTATATATCCTGGAGAATGCCCGCAACAAAACAAAATTACTAAATATCGAGCCAGCAGAGGGAGCTCTCAGCGGTTCCTAAATTCACACCTTTACGAATCCTGATGGTTACAGACAGCATCTCTGACTGTGTCCTAGAATATCTGATATTACTCGACAGGCTCATTTTTCCCCCCTTCAAAATGGTTTTTTCTAATGCTGCACTAGAAACAACTATGCAGTCTACGATGTCACAGTCCTAAACATCCAGCAATCCTATTCATCTGTGGTTTCATATCATTTTGCTTTGTTTTATTCTGTTTTTTTTTTCTTCCCCGAATCCATATTCTGCTTCATTGTCACATGTAAAATTAAGTTCTCTGGAAACATTTTAAAATTAGATGAAAAATACATGAGAAATCCCTTTGCACAAGCCTATATCTTGAAATTATATTTCAGCATTCCAAACTGTGTTAATATAAGTAGTTCAATACTACTGTAATTTTATTTTCACTGCCTTTAGGAATATTCTTCTCCTTTGCTTGTATGCAGGAATTTACCAAAGGCTGTAAATTTGATCTGTAGGTTATCCACTCACACTGAAACTTCGCAACTTTACAGAAACCTGGACAGGCAAAATGATCATATTCTTTAGGACAGGCTCAATATGATAGTAAATAATCTTAGCAATATATTACCTATACCACAGACCAAGAAAGATGGCAAAGGGCTGCACTCTAGGCTGGCAGACAGGATGCCAACCCCTTTCTGACCACCCTCTCTACCCCAGAGTCCTCCACTGGATGCTCTACAACCGTTGACAGGGAAGGGAAGAATGGGACAGAAGATCTTTCTGTAATAGAAACCACACTTGGAAATAAACCTGAGCAGTTCCACACTAGTTTATTAGTCAACTCTGTCACATGACCTCATCTGACAGCAAGGGATTTGGGAGTAGAGTTCAGTCATATGCGTATGAAGAAGTACAACAGAGTTTGTCAAACTCAGAGCCGTCTTTGACATGGAGACATGAGCTCAGTTTCTTAGAAAATTGTGAATCCTGTGGGGCCCTACAAAGGGTGGATACCTTTCTCAAAAACACGTCGTGAATGGATGAATTACTAGAATTTTACCAGCCTGTGATACAGATCTTACAAATGCTTAAGCTGGTCTCGTATTGTTTCCCTTTTTCTCTTTCCTTCTTTTTTATCTTTTATTTTATTTTATTATTATTGTTATTTTTTTTTTTTTTACTCCCACCTGTTTGTCCTGGATTGCACTTGTAAAGTATGAGCACACCGGATAAGATGGCATTCTTGTTTTTTAAATTTCCTATTTCTTTCATTTGTGCTTTCCGCCTTCGTTTCCAGCTCAAAGAGAGGGTGATGTCATTATCTTGTCCCCTACCTTGTGGTATTAGGCAATACAGCACAGCATGCTCTGGAGTAAGGCTACCTGGCTTGGCACTGTTGCTTAGAAGCCAGAAGGCCTCGGCTAGCTACTTAACCCCTCTGTGCTGCACTTTCCCACTTCACAGGGTTGTTATGAAGTTTGTGTCAAATACATATATAATGACTTTAGAACAATAACAAGCACAGAGCAAACACTCCAAAAATATTAGCGATTATATTTTAAGGCTGGCAAGATAGGATGATTTACAACATCGTTTCCAAGGATCTTAATTTAAATATAAACTATCCACAACAGCAGTGGCCTTTACTGTGCCGCCTCTCATTTTTGAGTTCCTATTGTTTATTAACAAATTGTGATGAAAAGGCTCTATCTATGACATAAAGTACAGGCAAACACTTTTTTGTGGTCACTGAAGCTAAGGCATTCGTTATCTCATTTGCTTCTCGTGGTTTGCAGTGGGCAGAGAGTTGAGTGAGAAAAGAGCTTTACTTTTGCAACTAGAAAATTATTTAGTACTGCATTAAAAAGTCATGTATTTTGCTGTTTTTCTTCAAATCATGACAAATTAAACCTAATTCTCCTTGTTTGCTGCACTAATTATTATACATGAGGGAATTCAGTTATCTCAATAAGCCACAATTTTCTCGATTTCCTTTCCTGTGCCCTTTGCTGGATTGTTCAGAATTTAATCCTTGTTTTGGGGGGTTATTATCTTTTCTGTTGTAGTTTATTCTTTCTTTTCTTTGTTTTTTCTTTCATCACCTCAGGTTATTATGTCATAAGCAAATAAAATTATTTTGTAGACCATTGTTCTTAAAAAGATTTTGAATCTTAAAAATAACAAATTATATTTTTATGCTTTTTAAAAATGTACAAAAAAAGCACAACCCAATAAAAAACATGGTGTTCATCCAAGATTTCTATGTGCTATCTAATTTTTCAATTAACTTATTTTTTTTCCAGTTTTTTTTTTTTTCCTGGACCTGATTTGAACCCACTACCTCTAGTATATGGGGCCGGTGCCCTACTCCTTTGTGCCACTGGCGCATCCCTGAATTGACTTATTTTTTATTAAAAATATTTTATTCCATATAATATATGTCTAAATTGGTAGAATTACTATGTATATAATGTCATAATGTTATAATGAGTTTTTTCATACCTCAATGTAAGATTAGCTTATTCTAGCACTTAGATTCACAAAATAGCAAATTAATTTTGATTTATTTTATTAATTTTTCTACTTCCCATCAATGCTTCTGGCATGTGAAAAATTTATGATCTACATGGAGAAGAAGAGTACATTCTAGGAGTCATAATTCTAGAGTAGGGTGTCAACGAACTAAGTAACTAAATATAAAGAAAATAATGTCAGAAAGACTAAACATCGTGAAAACAAAAAAAATTCAGCATATGCTACACATAGCAAGTGCATGAGCTGAAACAAAAAGTTGTAAAGTATGAATCCTGGTTTGTGCCTTCAAAAAGATTTTCATCTAATCAGAAATGATTCAGATATAAATAAAAGACAACTAATAGTGCATGATGCAAAAGAGAGGTTCATGAAATAAAAGTATAAGAACTAAAAGAAGAAAATGAATAATCATGGGGAAAAAAGTTACAATCAGGAATATAGACGAAAATATTGAACTTCACAGTAAGCCCATCCAACAGGAGCAAGAGGGATGAAGTTTAAAAGATGGGCAAAAAGATTGGCTAAAAAGGATTCCATTTCTAATTGTTTTCTGGTGGGGAGGTTTTAATATAGTTCCTGGAGTAATAGGAAAGGAACTCTCACGGGATTCCTTTGAGATGGGATTATCTAGCACTATTTTTGCCTGGCCTTATTCTAATTATTTTCAGGAAAACATAGCGCAAACTTATGTAACATATATATACATATATATATATAAAAATAATATGTACATATGTAATATATATATGTATATATATATTTGAAATTCACCTAGCTATACTTTAATGAAGAAAATAGGACAAAAGATTAGGTATTATTTGTCACAATTGACAGTTGATAATTCAGATGTACTTGTTTCCTTACAAATATGAAAGAATACCCTTAAAATGCAGATTAAATATGGGTGTTCAGAAATGGAATCCTTTAATAAAATCTCCATGATGTATAAGGGTATCAGAAATGAAGTCTAATTAACTCCCATTTGGCCATTTCAGTTTTATAAAATAGCCTTTACACTCTGTCCTGAGTGTTCTGGGAAATGATCATTAGCCAATTTGGATTCCAAGATTGTTTTATGTAATATTAATTGTCGTCTTTTTGCAGCCACAGATTGTGATGGAAAATTTTTGTTGACTGGATCTTCTGGATCTTTCCAGGCTGCCCATTATCCAAAGCCTTCTAACCCAAATATTGTTTGCCAGTGGATCATAAGGTAGTATGTCATCTTCTATTTTCTATTCTTAAGTCATAAAATCTTTTTCTGATGCAATATCTTACTGCCTTTAGCAGTTTTTTTTTAAAAACAATTATTGTTTTCATTAGCTATAAAGAAAAGTCCTCCCAACTGACAAACTAGTCAAAAAGATTCTCTCTTGTTCTTAACCTTTCAGAAAGGTATTCTGTCTTATGAACAATACTGTCTAATAATCAAGGTCATCTCATTGGTCTCTGATGTAAGCTTTGCGCCCCCTCCACCCCTGCCAATGGCTGGCATGAATCATGGGCTGCCAAGGCAAACAGCACACAAGCATGGCTGTGTTTCACAAAACTGAAATTTCATATGACCTGCCTCTGCCTGAAAAAGAGTTCCTTTCCCATTACACCAGTAACTACATGAAACCTCCCCTACTGTGATTTAGACACACCAGATTGAGAACAGGGAACATCCTCTGTATACATCCTTTTCCCTACATATTGAATGACATTTAGACATGTAACTCTACATTTGACCTCTAAGGTCTTAATTCAGTTGACCAGTTTTATCATGATGATGAACAAAAGAATAAGGCTCCTGATAGCCGATCTATCTTAATGCTGACCTAAGCATTTTTCACAGACAAAAATATCTAACATTCCTTTTTGATATTCCAAGGAGGAAAAAAAAATGTGTTTTCAAATAAACATAAGGGAAACAAATAAACTCATCAAAACTTAAAAAAAACCTAAATATATAAATAGGCAATCTAAATTTCCAAGAAAAACTTTCTGACTAAATGTTTCCCCCACAGAGCATCCAGAGTAAGTGTTCCATGGAATTCACTTTGCACATTTACTTCCTAGTTCCTTTCTCTAAACAGCTGTATGGTATTATGGTTTCCCAGTCTGACCTCTGTCATGACCATTTTAATCATTATGATGACTCTCTAGAAGAGTAGGAGAATCAATATAGTAGGGTAAAAGGCAGAGCCTTGGGGTCTTGCCAGACGTGATAGGAAATGTACCCATAAATAATCAGAGAAGTTGATTTCTCGTGTAGATATATCCCAGAGAGGACATGTGAAGAAATAACTGTTTTATACACGTTTACTTGTTATTATTGTTGGAAAGAAGAATATCCTGGTTTTTTTAAGTAGTTTCTATTTGGAATGCAGCCCCATGGAAAATATGTGACATATCTAAGGACACAGTTTTCTGTCTCAAACTCTGGATAACATGCTATTTATGTACCAAAAACAAAAATAGAATTATGTATTTAAAATGGTAGCTCTTCAAGCCCATTGAAAACTTACCCAAGTTGGAGGATGTGTCTACTCCACATATATATGTGAGATCTATGTATGTATATATATATAATATTTTATATGATATGTGTGCAAGAGATACATTCATATGTGTAAAATCACATCAAATTTTAAAAGAAGGATTTATAGTTTTAGCATTTTTCATAAAGAAAATAAAAATAATTATTCATTTAAAATGTGAATAGAAAGCCTTAGACAATCTTAAATTACTTTCCCTGAAATGAAAAGAATATGTAAACATAACTAATCTCACTCTTGAGTACACAATGATTTCTTCATGTAATCTTTAGATATTAATAACAAATAAAAATAATTTAATTATTAAATCCACTTCTTAATAAGTTAGGTCAAATTTACAGAGTTTACAAGGGGAATGAACAATGAACTTTTCCTACAATGATATCATTTATATTATAAACATCCTGTATTAATTAAGAATTTATAATCTTCTTTTTACTTTCATTCCATTGCTTACTTTCTAAAACTATTTTGAGAATTTTGCTATTGGTGCAGGGGTGAATTTAAAAATCTGAAGAATTGAGGCAGCACCTGTGGCTCAGGGGTTAGGGCACCCGCCCCATATACAAAGGGTGGCAGGTTCAAACCCAGCCCCGGCCAAATTGCAGCAACACCAACAAATAAAATAGCCTGGTGTTGTGGCAGGCACCTATAGTCCAAGCTACTTGGGAGGCTGAGGCAAGAGAATTGCCTAAGCCCAGGAGTTGAAGGTTGCTGTGAGCTGTGATGCCACAGCACTCTACCAAGCGTGATAAAGTAAGACTGTCTCTATTAAAAAAATAAACAAGTAAAAATAAAAATCTGAAAAATCTAAAATATTACACTAAAACAAATATTGCATTTCATGATGGAATTTGATTGAATCAAGAATATAAATAATATATTTTTTTCTTTTCAAAACAGATTATTGTATTAGAGACACATTGTACTAGATTGTTTTTTCTCAGTAGTGAACAAAAGGGGAACAATGAACAATTTTTCTGCAAGCTTGAACAAACAAATAGTGGGGAAATGGTTAGGATTAGTGCAGCCTTGGAATTACATTAAGCCCACATTTACCAAGGCCAATGGTTAAGAATGAAGGTACTAAAAAGTTAGATTCGTGTGGTTCTCTCAATTCAATTGTGAGATCCCAGACATGTAACTTTGCTTCTTTGACCTCAAATTTTGCTTCAACAGAGTTCAACATTTCTAACTACTGTGGTCAAAGTCATTATTAAATATGATAATGAACATAAAGTGATTTACCACGCATTAAGCACTCAATAAAATGTAATATCAACATAGAAAAAGATTAAGTAACAGTAGAATATAAAATGTATACATTGACAACAATACCCATCCCTTTAAAAAATCAGAAAGTACCCAAAATGTCTATTATATGAACATCTGATTATATTTTCAAATTCATCTTACTTTTATAAATGCTGCAGTTTATTATAAATCCATTAGCTTTTCTGAATCAGAAGAAAATACAAAATAGTATGTACTTTTTTTCTCTCTTCTAATTTTTTTGAGAAAGCAAAGGACCCCTGAACAGAACGGCTCCTGGGGAGCTTCTCTTGCATCCATTCCTTAGTTTCACAGCTTGAAAACAACATCAGACAAAGAAGAAATCATTATATTCTTGCCTAGAGACACCAAAACATTAATTAAAAGAACAGAAATTATCCCCGTAGGCTGCTTCATTTCTTTCGCCTCTGCCTTCTTCAGCTTTGATTCTGGATTCCCTGAAGGTCTCTCCAGCAGGCTCAATCCATCTGTCCCTGAACTGACCTAACAGAGGCGGAACTGAAATAAACAACTGCAACCAGAACTTTGCTTTCCTCTCTCTGTCTGAGCTGGAAAGATCTGCTGATCTCTTCCCTTGATCTCCTTACTTCTGCCAACCTCCTGTGCTTTCTGAACACAAAAAAGAGAAGCAATGAGTGTACTATCTCCTGCATACATCTGTTTTAATCCAGCGGTCCTCAAAACAAAGTGCTTATCACAATGCAGCTTTTCAAAATAGATGCCCCAGAATCTACTCCAGGACTGCTGAATAAGATACTCAGAGCTGAAGTCCATTTGTCAGTATTTTCAAAAAATAATCAACCACTGTTCTAATTTTACCTCTTTGGAAGCAAACATTGGGCACCTCCAACCATCTAGATTTCTGCTTAGATGTCTTTAAATTCTGACCATCTAGTTGCCATTCCACTATCATCAATCCCACTGTTGAAGACTAAAACTCCAGCCTTTGAAAGCCATCCCTCTGACCAGAATTATAATATAATATATGACAAACCTTGGTCTTGCCCCAGATACACATTTCCCAACAATGACCTTTAGACCCTCGAAAATCAAATAATTTTGTAAGGGATGTTTTCAATTGCCTGATTTGTCATGTTATACTGATGGCATACCTGAAAAATAAGGTTGGTGTGCCATTGTGTACATATACCATGATTTCTTTATCCATTCAAGCTCTATAAAGGCTGATTACACATTTGACTATTGTGAATAGTGCTACAATAAACATGGGACTGCAGACAATCTATCAATATACTGAATTCCCATCTTTGGACCTCTACCGAGCAGTGTGAATCTCCACAGTGTTCTCCACAGTGGGTGCGCTAGTGGACACTCCCACCAATGGTTTAGGAGGGTTCTCCTTCCTCCACATCCTCACTATCATCTGCTATATTGACTCACTTTGATAAAAGTTGTTTATCTGGGATGAGATGATGTATCTTTGTAGTTTTATTTCCAGTTCTCTGAGGTAACAATGTTGAACATTTTTTAACATATCTATAGTCCATTTGTATGCCTTATTTTGAGAAATTCTATTCATATCTTTTGCCCATTCTTAATCAGATTAATCATTTCCAATCGAGTTGTGGGAGCTTTGTATATGGTTTTATTATTAATTGTCGGTCAGATGGGTAGTTTGCAGATATTTCCTCCCATTGTATGAGTTCTCCTTGCACTTTGTTCATTGTTTCCCTCACAGTAAAGAAGATTTTCACTTGACACAATCCTATCTGTCCAAGTTTCCTTTGGTTATTTGTGCTTTGGGGGTATGACCAAAGAAGTCCACTATTCTTCAGGGAAATATGAATGAAAACAATACTGTATTGTCACCTCATATCCATTAGAAGGTCCCCTACCAAAACAACCACACCAAACAAAAAAAAAAAAAAATAGAAAATAACAAGTGTTGGCAAGAATGTGGAAAAATGGAGCCCTTGTGTACCGTTGGTAATAATGTAAAATGGTGTGACCACTGAACCTCAGTATGCAATTTCCTCAAAAATTTAAAAGTAGAAGTACCATGTAATCTAGTAATCCTAATTTTTGATGCTAACGTTAAAGAAATAACTGCATTTCCATGTTCATTTGTGAACATTACCGTGTTTCCCCCAAAATAAGACCTACCCAAAAAATAAGTCCTAGTAGGATTTCTATGCATTTGTTAGATATAAACTCTACCCCATATTAAGACCTAGAGATGGGTGAGGCTATGCAGCATATCTGTATAGCCACGCCATGCATTTCGGCATGGAGAGCCTGAAAATAAGCCCTAGTGTGTCTTCTTGAGAAAAAATAAATATAAGACAGTGTCTTATTTTCAAGGAAACATGGTATTCACAAAAGCCACGAAGTGGAAATAACCTGATGTCTATCAACAGGTTATGGATAAAGGAAATGTAGTAAATATGTAAACTAGAGTTTATTTAGCCATAATAAAGAAGGAAACTCTATTCATAATGCAAAATGGATGAACTTTGATGTCATTACATTAGGTGAAATAAGCCAGTCACAGAAAGGTAAATACAGCATGACTTCACTTCCATGAAGCATATGAAGTAGCTAAACTCAGAAATGGAAGTAGAATGGCATTTGCTAGGAGTCAGTGGGAGAAAATAGTGGGGAATTGATCTTCATTGGATATAGACTTTCAGTTCTAAATATCTGCTGTATGACACTGCATTTATAGTTAATAGTACATACTGTACAGTACACTTATAAAAGTGTTGAAAGTATAGATACCTTGCTTTTACCACAGGAAAAGAAAATATGTACAAGTTCTAGAATGCATTAAGAATGATCACAACTGTTGAGTGACCATAATCTATTTTTTTGCTTTTAATTTAGTGTAAACCAAGGACTTTCTGTTAAACTGAGCATCGATTCTTTTAATACATACAATCCAGATATATTAAATATTTATGAAGGTGTAGGATCAAGCAAAATTTTGAGAGGTAAGTTAAAACAAATATACAATCCACTACTGAAATGAAAATATATGGAGAACTTTGTGGACTGCTACATTCAGTCTGTTGTTTAGAACTAAACATGAACTTGAAATTTATATCACTGAAAGGAAAAAACAAACAAAACTGGTCATCATTATCAAAATTAGAAAATGAATGTTCTCTGTGATCTTCCTCATAATAAACTAGCCGCTATTTCACATGGTCACCTTCTAAGTGATGTCGTAAAAAGCCATGTGAAGATTGCCAAGGAAATATAATTATAATTTGGTCAGCTGCATTATTGAAGTGTTACTGCCCATTAAGAAAAATCCAGGTAAGCCCTGAAAATTACTGTTCTATTTTTCTCCAACATTGTGTAGGTTATAAACTCACAGAGATTTTGTTCTTGTTTTTAGTGTGCCCTTGGCTTCTCAGTCTCTTCCAGGACTGATATGTGTTCTAATAATGTGGGTCAAACAGTGTCTAGGCCAGGTGATAAACTCAGCAAATGGTAGGTGTGGATGATATTGTTACCACACAACCATCCGTCATTAATAAATGGGTACTGATGGAAGCTGAGAAGAAAGCAAGATGTGTGATATTAACACAAGGTCTGACAATTGAGTTCTCTAACTTTCCTTCTCTAATTCATACTTACGTTGGCAGCCATGTTCAAACAACTTGGTAAGGTTTTATAACCTTAGTGTATGAGTGGCTCATGGTTGTGTTCATGTTAACGTGTGTCAGTGTTTTTGCTGAGTGGCGTTTATTATTGTTGTTGCCTGTGTTTGTGCACCACCGGGGAATGTTGGAGCTTAAATTAGAACAACTAGCAAACATTCATACATTTCTTGTTAAAATTGTCAAGAGTTGCAGTGAAACCAGGGACATGTTAGTCTAAGCTGATGGGGATAATTCCATGAAGAAAACAGCAGCGTACAGACAGATTGAATGTTTTTCTGAGGAGAGAAAATGTGTCACCGATGAAGAAAGGTTGGGGTGGTCAGTAATGAGAAGAAAAGGGAAAAACATGACAAAATGTCCTCAAGTTGTGCATCAGAATAATCAGCTGACTGAGAGAAACATAGCAGACCAAGGACATGTTGATAGAGACACAGTTAGGAAAACATTAATTGAAAATCTTGGCCAACAGCTGATGGCTCTTGCATCACGACAGTGCATCAGCTCACATAGCAATGTCTGTGACTTAGGTTTAACCAGTAAACAAATGACAGCATTGGATAGTCCTTCCTGCTCACCCTATCTGGCCCTAGTCACTTTTTTCTTTACCTGAAGATAAAAACAATCTTAAAGACATCTAATAAAAGGAAGACATTTTAATGACATTCAGGACAACCAGGGTAATACATGATAGCTCTGATGGCCATGCCAGATAAAAATTCCAAAATTGCTTTGAAGGGTGGAGCTAAGCACTGCCATTGGTGCATAGCTTCCCAAGGGGAGTACTCTGAAGGGGACCGTAGTGATATTCATGAATGAGATATAATGAGATATTTAGCACTTTTTCTAGGATGACTTCGTGAACTTGTCAGTGCCCACTTTGTTCGATCTAGCCCCAAATGCACTGGACTCTTCATGGTAGCCAGTGAAAGTAGGGGCAAAATGCCTGGAAGAAATAAAATAAAGATGAAGAAGAAAATGTGGAAAGGTTGTCCATGGAATAATGAGTTTTTCTCACACATTATAGTGTTGAACTAAGATGAGGTTGCCAATGACGTCTATGATTAAAGTTGATTTAATAATTGCATTTATTTGAATAGTTTTGCCTTTCAAATGTATTTGTGGAGAATGAAAATTAAGTTCTCTCTAATAAAAGTTTTGATTGATTTAATGATTTCAGAGGTATTTAAGTATGTGGTACAAATATTTATTTTTTATTAGTTGCTATCATGCAATGCAATGTCAAGTGACTTATTTGGATTTTCTTATTTAATATTTTCAACAAACTTGCAAAGTAGGATGAGTAAAGAGTAAGATGAGGTTTAAGATGTTAAATGAGCACATGTTCATAGAGCTAGTCAGTGCTGGAAGCAGAAGTCAACTCCAAAATTCCTTTTCTTCAGAGTGCAATTATTCATTGTGCTTTAAAATCTCAATAATATATAGGAAACACATGAACTCATGGTAAGTCATGTATAGGTCTAAGTAAATTCATCCAGAATTTCATAATGTATTTGTTTTTGTAGTTGATACTCATAGTTCTTAAAATTATGATTAACATGAATATTTACATAGGTGGGCAAATAAGCTAGTTCATATAAATATATTCAAAAGATAATCTGCCAGTGATACATTTTAGCATACATTGATCACTTACGATGTGTAAAGCAGTGTCGTCAGCAGTTTTTTCTCAGTAAATGTTTCCCAAAACCAATTGTGTAGGTGCTGTTGTATTTTCTTCTATACCGATGATACAATCTCAATTCATAGAAGTTAGTTGCCCCACAGATGGTAGGTGTAAGTTATCCTCATGTTCCCCTACTGTTTAAATACCCTGATTTGTCTAAACAGTTTTCACATGCTTATGCTATCAGCAAGTCGTAAATAAATATTAGAATAATTAGTAGAGTCATGTAAATAATGCATAATCGCCATACAAATATAATAAGAAATTTAAAATTTAAGTAGAAAAAACTCCATGAATGTATTTCAATTATAACAGGCAATTGCTAAATTTTAAGATCTTTGGAAATTCAATTCCACTTTAAAGTTTTGAAAATTAAGTGTTTTAATTGGAATCTAAAAAAACAATGATAAAGGGTATTAGGTGTTACACTTAAATCATACAATTGAAAATAGCTTATTTTTAAGAAAGGGAATAACATCTTACTTCTAGCGTATAACACAGTATCTAATATGTTGCAGAAATTCAATATTTGTTGGTTTAAATTTACACTCAGGGGTTTATATTTGAATCATATAGTGGTGTGGTGTGATAGTGTATGTAGACAAGCTGTATCTCTCATAACTTTTAAGTTATTTTTGTATTAAACCAATGCCAATACTTTCATTCTCAATTGACAAGTCCATCTTTTCCCTAAATGCTACAGCAAGTTCCTTTATATGAAAGACGCTTACAAGATTTCCTTTCATTAAATTCCTATTTAGAATATATATCTCAAGTACTATTGCTATTACTTGATTATGTTGAACATATCTGAATATGTCGCTTAAATTATGGAAAATAGGATTAGCTAGAGAGACTATAAAGAAATAAAAGAATCTAGTACCATAAAATACTTGCTATATACGTGATTAGAGGTAAGCCAGAATAAACAAATTTTAAAGGCATTTTTCAGTCATGAAAAATGTCATAATGTAACTCTAACCAGTAAAAAGTTTTGAAGAAAGATGTCATTACAGAAAGAATATATAGAACGCAATGAAGTCTTCAAATAGTCAGAGGAATGGAAGTAAATCAGAGTAAAATTCCAGGATAGTTAATTCAAAAACATTTTCTTTAAGTTTTAGTGATGAAAGTACAATATTAAACTCGGTGTGGTAGTAATTGTCAATACCCGGAATGAAAGGAGTAGAAGATAGTGAGTGAGTTCATTTAATTTTTGTGCAGAAAAATCTATAAATGTTTTTATGCACCATCAAAGAAAGACAACAAAAAGAGCCCGGGTCAGCACACTGCAATTGGTTTCAAAATGTCTTGCCCAGAAACATGTTTCTTAGTGTGTGGTTATTGTACCATTCTTTATATTGCAAGCGCATACCTGGTATCTCATCCCCACATGCTGACAATATATACCTAATTCTCTGTAAGATCAGACTTTTCACACTAAAGCACACTAATGCTTTATAATGGACATAATGGGTTTTCCTGAATTGTTAATTTATTCTACAACAAAAAATAATCATGTTGGGAATACAGAATTAAGTAACATATGCACATTATTTTTTTCAAGATAAGTCATTTGTAACAAATTCTGTGCTTTTATTAAGATGCTTTTGTGCACTCAGAAGTATCCATTCACTCACTTCTGTAGATAGGATACGTTACGTGAGAAAGTTTTAACAGGCACTAGTTTAAAGAGTCATCACTTCTGGAAGTTCTCAAAGATTTACTCAAAGAAGTATTGAATCATAGTGCCCAGCAAAATTAAGGATCCCCTCCTCAGTATCCCATAGCATTTCTCCCACATCTACTAATTCCACTTTTAATTTCTTTATAATTTGCCAATCTGAAGTTTTCTACTATATGATCTTGGAGATTTTTTTCTCTCTGACCTCAGCAATTGAACCTATACCAAAGAAATAGTGAGCACTCAATAAAGTGTGTTGAATATATAAGAAATCATGTATATCATAAAGGGAGTACATTAATGGCAGCATTTGTACTCATATAAATTGGATAAAATTAATGAACTATAACATTAATTCAGAGTTGTGAACTATATCTGCCGAATCCTACTCTGTAGAAAGTTGGTCAACCTGGTCCATTGACCTCTTTGCAAACTCCCCCCCGCCCCCCAGCATCTTTTCCATGCTTTCTGATTTTCTCTTCCACAACAACAGACACTTTGCTATTAGGAGACAAATAATGGAGTTAACTCACATTTAAGATTAAGTACTCAACAAGTCTATGTAAATTAGTACCTATTCATAGAAGTATTGAATTTTTAGTAGAAGACGCTGGATTTTCTTAAGGCATTACTATCTAAAAAATTAATCTATCAGCTATACTACAACATGAAGAAAAATCCAGCCATTAAAAGGTATTAAATAGTTGTTTTGTCTTTTGACACAAGCCCTATTTCTTATTACCCTGTATGCTCACAGACTGATACCTGTATACATCACTCCAATATTCATTACATGTTTCCTGTGCTCTTGTTTGTGTACAGTGACAGAGACACAACCAAAACATTACTCATAATTTATACGCTTTTTCAGGGTTTACCACTTAGCCAATGAGATAGAGAAACAATAGGTAGGAGTCACTGAGCAAATGTACTATACATCAGTCAGCGTCTCACGTGGAAATTATTTAATCCTTATAAATCTTTATGGAAAAAATGTAGAGCAACAGGCAGAATGAGGCACAGAGCAGTCTGGTAAAATAGGAATTCAGGACTAAATTGAATTCTGAATCTGGAGCCTCTGCAGACTGCTTAACCACTGCATGGATGCACAAAATATCTAGGTTTCACTGGATCTGCGTCTGGGACTCTTTTTAGTAAAAAAATTTTAAGAATATGATGAAAGTTTTATAAAATCCTACAGATACATGTTTTATACCATTTTTGGAGGTTTGTGGGTATCTCAGAGGCAGGCTAATGGACCTCAGGATATAAACTCCTGGACGATCGAGACTAGTGCAGTTATATTAGGTAACATGAAGATCCAACATATTATAATCGTCATGAGTGTGATTACACCACTAGCCACATTCAAATCCAGGAAGAAGCCATCACCCAAAAATGGCATTGGTATGGAATAGAAAGGCATCAGGAGAAATGCAGGTACGTTTCCAGCGAAGTTTCCAGAATTTTCGCATCCCTTAAGTGACTGACACTTATGAACTATAAACATTTTCACTATGAGAACTATGTAGATTAGACAGTTACAGATGTTGGTCAGAAGAGTCTAAATAATGAGTATAGTTTGTGTGAAAACACAGAACGAATGACGCATGTTGGGGAAAAGCATTAAGCTGTGAACAAATGCTTGTTCATGGTATTCTATCCATTAGAGTCTACAGAAATTATATCGCAGGTGTCACAATGTTTGCTAAGTTCTACGTAATAAGAACAGGATTTTTAATAGATTGTAAAAGTTATCTGTCTTCAGAACTCAATAAAAACTGTAATGGGGTGCTTTTTCTCCAATCTCCAAATGTAAGACTTAACACACTTAAGGGGAGTGTTAAGTCCCCTTCATAGACTTAACTCTGCTGCCCAGGTCAGATTGTCAAACTAAAATGCTACACCATTTTTTGATCCTTTTTGTCATCATCAGCTCTACTAAGAAAACTTTTATCTTTTGTCCAAAGCTCTGCATGAAAATTTCTTTTTTTTTTTTTTTTTTTGAGACAGAGCCTTAAGCTATCCCCCTGGGTAGAGTGCCGTGGCATCACACTCACAGCAACCTACAACTCCTGGGCTCAGGCGAGTCTCCTGCCTCACCCTCCCAAGTAGCTGGGACCACAAGCGCCCGCCACAGCGCCTGGCCATTTTTTGGTTGCAGCCATCATTGTTGTTCAGCGGGCCCGGGCTGAGGATTTGAACCCGCCACCTTAGGTGTATGTGGCTGGCGCCTTAGCCGCTTGAGCCACAGGCGCCGAGCCATGAAATTTTAATGTTTCAAATACATCATATTCTGTGTATACTCTGTGTACCTGTTGAAGGACTGTATGTGAACATGAGCTTTGCACATTAAAAATTGAGACTGTTCTCTGAGAGTGAACTTTTACTTCCCCTATTTATTACAGGAAATATCACCCCCTCTAAGAATGTATATGCTATTCATTTTTATCAAAATACGTTTTATACAACAATGATTTTATAAATCCCATATGATAATATTTTATATCCCAAGCATTGTACCAACTTTTGACAATCAAACCTTGAAAGACATCCCTTAAGTAGTTTGCAGTCAAGACACAAAAATGTACAAATCAATATAAAGTGCTATAGAAACAGTTCTTAACTCTAGTTTTTATTTGGAGGTTGTATGGATAGAGAGCCAAAGAAATACTATTCTTTTTTTTCCATTACCGTGACCTACTTTTAGCCCCTGTTAGTGTGACACAGGAAGTACCTGGGAGAGCCAAGCTAACTTTTAGTTTGTATAACTAATTAACTTGTGTGTTTCTTACAGGAACCTTTTTCAGAAAAGGAAGGCATCGTTTCTTTTTGTGTGTGTATATAGTGTATGCGGCTAATTTAAAAGTATGACCTTTTCAAATGATAAAGACCGTATTTTGCCATGTATGGTGCACACTTTTTGCTCACTTTTCCAGGAAAATATAAGGACGTGCATTATATATGGGTAGTATGGCTGAAGAGCTGGGGAGCCCAGTGGGCCTCCTGGGGCAGCTGTGCCCTCCTACCTAGGCTTGCTGGGCTCAGGAGCTCCCACCCAGGATGATCTGAGACCCTGTCAGAGTGAGCCAGAGTGATCTCTGCCAGTTACCATAATCAAGAGAAGGGGTGATGGTGAGGCTCATGGGGCTGGTGAGGTGGGCTATGGCCACACGAAGGGGACTGGGAGACCACGGCAGGCCCCAGGGACCTGCTGGCTGCCCACTGGCTGAGCAGCTTAGAAACTCTGTACCAGCCATGTGTGTGGCCATCTTATCCATGGGCCCTGACATGGCTGGGAAAGAAGCGTTCTTCCTGGGAGAGAGAGAAGGGTCAGCCTTCACAGAGGAGGCAGCAACAGAGGGTGGTGTAGTCTGCACCTTTAGCAAGGCAGCCCTACATGTGTCTCTCTCAGCCGAGAGCTGGCCACTTTCTCAAGGGTGTTTTCCTGATGGTTAGGGACAAAAACACGGGTGCACACTACACATGGGAATACATTGTACAGAGCAAACTATAGTATGGGTAATACTTTGAAATTTTCTAATTCTTAAAAGAGGAGACATTTAGAATAAAATAAATTGATTATAGGACTAATGCTTTTATTTAACTGAGTGGTGTCAGATAGATGGCTGGATCAGTCAATAAACTGATAAATCAAGCTTGGCGCCTGTAGCTTAGCGGTTAGGGCACCAGCCACATACACCGGAGCTGGAGGGTTTGAATCCAGCCCAGGTTGTCAAACAACAATGACAACTACAACGAAAAAATAGCTGGGCATTGTGACGGGGGCCTGTAGTCCTGGCTACTCAGGAGGCTGAGGCAAGAGAATCGCTTAAACCCAAGAGTTTGAGGTTGCTGTGGACTATGATGCCACAGAACTCTACCCAGGGTAACAGCTTGAGACTCTATCTCAAAAATAAATAAATAAATAAACTGAGAGATCAGTCAATGGATAGATGAATAAAGAGATATGTATGTATATATAACAATCATTCATTTTCTTTTATAGCTTCTCTTTGGGAAACTAATCCTGGTACAATTAGGATTTTCTCCAACCAAGTTACTGTCACCTTTCTTATAGAATCTGATGAAAATTATTATGTTGGCTTTAATGCAACATATACAACATTTAACAGTAGTGAGCTTAATAGTAAGTATTATTTATATTTTATCCTTTGAACTTTCAGATGCTCTAATATGATCATGGAATTTTAAAAGTAAAAGAATTCCAGGCAGGAGAATCACTTGAGCCCAGGAGTTGGAGGTTGCTGTGAGCAGTGATAGCATAGCACTCTACCCAGGGTGGCAGCTTGAGGCTCTGTCTCAAAAAAATAAATAAATAAATAAGTAAAGAATATCTTTCTTGTGTATCCTTCTATAGTTAATACTTAGAAAGAAATGAGAAATTAGAAGATTTCATATTCTTCAAAGAGATTAAATAGTCAATTTGAGAAAAACTATCAATCAGTATAAAAACCAATTTAAAAATTTATATGCTGCAAGTATTCCAAGTTAAAAAAAACTTCCTACCATAAAACTAATTCAGCGAGAGTTCCACGTAAACTTGATTTTGTTCAAAGTAACAAATGTAGTAACAGGAGAGAAAAATATGGAACAAAGTTTGTGTGGGTGATGAAGGTAAGATGTAAATATTAAAGAACAAGAAGCTTGTATTTGCTAAAGTACTGATGACTTATAAGAAATACATTAATTTAATTTAATATAACTGACAATAAAAATCTGGGTTCTTTTCAACTAAGTGGAATGAAATGGAGTTAGATTAATAAAACATGATTTTGTGTGTGTCACTCAATTACCAGCTGTACAATGTTATTTTCAATGTAATTGAAATTGTCTACTACAATTACTCACATTGTGAACTAAATTTGAATTTTACCTTTTATTCTTTATTTTTTAATCACAGATTATGAGAAAATTGACTGTAATTTTGAAGACGGCTTCTGTTTCTGGGTCCAAGACCTTAATGATGACAATGGCTGGGAACGGATTCAGGGAAACACCTTTCCTCCTCTTACTGGACCCAATTTTGACCACACTTTTGGCAATATTTCAGGTATAACTGATATTCAATTCATAAAAGGAAAGAAATATGTGTTATTCTATGATTTAAAGTGAGCAGTATTGTTAATAAATGAGAAGTAGTCCTTTTAGATTTTCTTTTTAAAAAATCACGAATTCATAGAATGCATCTAAATGAAAACTGATAATCAAATAGGTGAGTGATCACTTCTGAGGTCTTTCTACAGGGGTACAAGTGAATCTTTCTAAGAGTAGAATGTGAACGTTTTTAAAACAATAACTGAGAAAATGACATGAAGGCTGTTGTTGACCAGTTTGATGGAAGTATTTCAGATTGCATGTGAAAACCCCACACTGTACCCCAGAAGTGCATTAACGTACATAGTTAGCATTCAATAAAAAAAAAAAATAGGTGAGTGAAAGTGAGAGCATTCAGGTAAGTGCATCCCAAAAAATATATTCTTTTATCCCAAATATTTCAAAACTATTGAAGAGTACATAGAGACCACTAGAGACAAGATGAGGTTGCCATCCTAGATTTGATGCCTTTCATTAACTAAACTTGTGATTAACTTTTTCAAACTTTGGTTTCCTTTGCCTCAGTTTCATTTTCTTCTTGTTCATTGCTAGTGCACAGAAACCCAATGGACTTCTGTACATTAGTATTGGACCGTGAACTTGTTTCTTGGCTCTGATAGATTTTTAATAAGAATTCCTTGGGAGTTTCAACATACAAGATCATATCATATTGAAATATACATAGATTTACTTCTTCAAGGAAGTCCTGTAGAAAGCAGATTCTAAAGCACAGTCCTAAGGGTAGGGCGGTGATTAGTAAGTACATTTTTCATCTGAATGAGATATTAGAACTGGATTCCAGGTGGAAATACTAGAGACAAAAACATTTGACTGGGGCTTGGCTCCTGTAGCTCAGTGGCTAGGGCACCAGCCACATACACTACAGGTAGCGGGTTTGGACCCAGCCCAGGCCTGCCAAACAACTATAATTAAAAAAACAGAGCTGGGCATAGTGGCAGGCACCTGTAGTCCCAGCTACTTGGGAGGCTGAGGAAAAAGAATCGCTTAAGTCCAGGAGTTTGAGGTTGCTGTGTGCTGTGATGCTACAGCACTCTACTGAGGGAGACATAGAGACTGAGGGAGACTGAGACTCTGATTCAAAAAAAAAAAAAAAAAAATTATGACTAGGAAACAAGAAATCATCAGCAAACATTGGGGAGAAGCAACGTGTACCAGGAGGATGACCCATGAAAGCACTGGAAACACATGTTCATAACACCAAATATAACACTAAACAGTTACCAATCTAGAAGGAATGTGTACCTTAAAAAGGAAAATTACAAAAAAGAGCGGAGTGAAGATTTCTACATGTACCTAATTTTCTAAGACAAAATCCATCTTACAATGTGACTGGCTGATATGTTACTCATAAGAATACTCTTCCATTCAAAAAACACATATTAAGGCTCTCTCTGACCAGGTGCGGTTATAAGCATTTCAGGGCACAGGACACATATTGCTACTTCTGTGAAGTATGTCCAGACCTCCAAGTTAAAATCTTCTTTTCTGTTAAACATTCTAAGCACCTCTTTTATTTTTCCTATCACAAGGTGTTATATTTACTTATTTATTTTGTTTTTCATGGTATTATATTTATTTATTTATTTGTGTTTTTTTTTCACCATTGGTTTTTTTTTTTTTTTTTCAGGGATGAAAATCTAGTCTTTTTATTTTTATTTTTATTTTTTTATTTATTTATTTTTTGCAGTTTTTGGCTGGGGGCCGGGTTTGAACCCACCACCTCCGGCATATGAGGCCAGTGCCCTACTCCTTTGAGCCACAGGCACCACCCCAAAATCTAGTCTTTTGGTCTTTGAATTCCTAGAATGTTCTCAGTGCCTGAATTTAATTAACGTGCAAAATTATTTTTGAATATATAAATGAATGTCTACAACTTTCACTCAAATGATTTGAGTAAGCTATTGACTGAATGAAATAGTTTATAACATAAAAAAGTAAGTCAAACAAATGTCTATTGTAATTTATCTTTAATAGTCACTTTTGTTATGAAGATCAATAGTCTTTATTTCACTTTATATTTTATTATTTTTTTTTCTGCAGCTTTCTAGCCTTGGCTGAGCTTGAACCCACCACCCCCAGGGCATGGGGCTGGCGCCCCACTCCTTGAGCCACAGGCACCACCCAATATTCCTTTTTTTAGGACCTGAAAAGTAAATGTTTGCACTAATGTCAATTGTGAGTGATATCTAAAGGACATTAATGGGTTCATTGTTTTCAGGATAGAAATGTATCTGACTAATCTTAGTTCTTTAGACATCATTTCCCCAATCAAAACATGATTCATTACACTTCTTCAATGTGAGAAAAATATTTTTAACAAAAAGTAATGAATTTTAGTCCATTTTATAATCCTCACTAAAAGCCTCTTTCAATTTATTACTTTAATCATGTATTTTAGTAGCATTTATTAAGACCCACGCCCTTTTTGAGGCACTCAAAACATCTGTGAAGAGAATAAACCAAATTTTCTGTTTTCATGGAACAAATATTTTAGCAAAACAAAATAAAATAGATACATGAAAGATATTGTTTTAATATGTTAAAGGTAGATGAGTACTCTGGATAACCAGGTGGATAAGGGGAGGGGGAAGGGCAGCTGGTAAGCTGCTATTGCAAATTAAAATAGAGTGATCAATTTAGGCCTCGTTGAAACAAGTGACATTTGAATGAGATCTTTGCAAAATTGAAAGAATTAGCCATATCGATTATTCCACACAAAGGGAGCATGCTGACCTGTTGGAAGATAAACCAGGAGACCAGCATGGCTGGGTAGAGTGAGTAGGGCAGCAGAGTCCAGATGACCCTGGGGTATCTAAGAATCCAGTTGAAGTTCTTGAGCACAGATGTGAAAAGCTTCACTCTGACTGGTAGGCAGGGAATAGTTTGTAAGAAGGCAAGAGTGTTGAAGGGAAGCCAGTGAAAAGCTGTTGCCTAACCCAGAGATGACGTCATGGAGCTCAGATCAGAGGAAGCGATGTGGAGAGAAGAGGTCGGATGGGGGTATATTCTGAAAGCCAACAGTGTCTTGCCCAGTCAGTTACCAGTGTGGACCTACACCTAAAAATGTGTTCCAGGTAGAGGGCTGATCCCATATGACTAAAATGTTTAGTAGGTCATGATGACATGAATATCCTTATCCGTAGGTTCTTTTAGAATCCTCCATGGACAAATTCATAACCTGAGAAGGTAAGGCCTAACTACCAAGCAGTAATGACCCCACCCTCTAAAGAGGCCTGGCCTGAAGGAGTCAAATAATCCGATCATTTTATTTTCCTTCACTATCATAAAAAAAAAAAAACCTCTCCCACACTTGGACAAGAGTAGTTAGAGGAAATTGCAGAAAGCATTTCTATCTATTGAGTGTGACAGATACCTTTTATGTAGTTGAAATCTTTGATGTACAAATTATCATTTTTCTACTTTTATGTCATCATAATAAAATAATAAAATAATTCCACTGATGTTTGAAGAGTATAAGTACATTACAGGAGAAAAATGGTTTCAGTTTGCCAACAGATTAAATAAGGAAAAAGAAAAAGATGAAACGGACCTCAGTGAAACAGGTTGAATATCAAGTGTAGGCTTTAAATAACTGGGCTGGAAATGGAGCGTCAGGAGAAAGTCGTGTAGCAGGAGTGATTTCAAATTAGACAAGTCATGTAATGAGGACCGATTGTGGGTTTAATAGGTTTTCTCCAATACTCATACCTGTGATTTCATAATCAACCCTGTGTATCAGGACATCCTATCCCTGAAATGGAAGATAATTAAATCTTCCTGATGGCCCTCTGATCCATGCAGGGTATTATTATTATTGCTATTGTTTGTTTTGGTTCTTTACCTTTACTTTAAATGACAGGAAAGCCTAAATGCAACAGAAACTTTTAATTAATATTGCTTTAGTGAAGAACATCTAAGCCTCTTCACTTTCCTAGCTCTTGTGAAAGACTCTCTCCTGATGGAGCAACGGCTCCCAAATCTCTGCATTATCAATGTTCAGAAGGGAGATAGTGGTTCGTGTAGGGGGTGTCTTGGGGTGCTCAGAAGTGTCCCATTGGTTCAGAAAACTCGAGAAAAACAAGGTCAATACATTTGAAAACGTCTGAAATACAGGGGTTACAGGAAGCTAGACAACTCAAAGCGTTTCTTTCTTTGCCTTTCTCAACAAAATCATAATTGTTACTAAAGCTTTGGGAGGCAGCATAGTTTGTTACTAAAGATCTTTATACTATAGACTCTGGAGTCTCAGCAAAGTTTAAATCTCAGCCCCGCCTTTTGGCAAGTTTTCTATTCTTTCAGTCTGACTCAGTTCTGTTGTCTGGAAAGTGGAGCTGATGATGACAGGCCTGACTTTAGAAGTATGCAATGAACTCTAATATATTAAAGACACTCATAGGGCAGCACTTGTGGCTCAAAAGGGTAGGACACTGGTCCCATATGCTGGAAGTGGTGGGTTCAAACCCAGCCCCAGCCAAAAATTGCAAAAAAAAAAAAAAAAAAAAAATTCAGAAAAACGTCTGGCACATGGAAAGTGCTAGATAAACACTAGGTATTATAACTGTTTTCCTTTCATGTCACAAAAGTATTCAAGAGACGCAAATTGGCTGAAGTCTTATTCTAAGTAGTATGCTGGAAAGAAAAAGTTATTTCACTCAGTTTTTAATGTACATTGGGTCTTGCAGATTTCTGCATCTCTTTTAACATAAAACCCTTTTCCAAGATTAGTGTAACTTTAGTGTTTTTAAATTAATATTTTTTTTAATCTTTCCTGTGATGTTGAATTTTATCAAATAATATTCATCTCTAATATGGATAGAATTTGAGTATATTTGAATGATTTGCCAATCTAAACTGTCAATAATATTTATCTACTAAGTTCAGTTAATTTTACATATGAATTTGAAACTCCCAAAGCCATGTGGATCAGCCTGTTTCCTTCTTGAGAAAGCTCTTAACATTCCCAATACGTTCTACCATTTCTCTAGTTTCTGCTGTCTCTGTATCTGGGTTAGCACGTGCCCAGCACTCCTGCTCTGTCACTGGGGTGTTAGGTGGGAAAAGGTTAGATTCAAATCATGGGGGAAAAAGTGATAGAAGGAAGTTATAAGAAAAAATTAACTGCTCAAGAAAGAGATTCACTATGTGCTTAAATGAGCAAAATGTATTCAATTTTAAGATGACTCTGATATTAATTCCAAGAGCTCTAGAAGATACTTCTACAAAATTGAAGGACTTTAAACTAAATTATTATTTGACCACATAAATTACCCTGTGGTTATAGAAAATATACATTCCTTTAGTGTAGAACTTTAACACATTTAAAAGAAAGTCAGATCAGTGTAATAATAACATGTTAAACAACCACAGCTCATTTGCTATTTCCCCCGAACTACATTCTAAGCGACCTAAACTAAGGTCAACTCAAAAGGAATTTGGAGTTGGGCATTTAGAGAGTGGGCTCTGGAACCTCTCCTTCTATCTGTGCTCCTCTTCTCCATTACTTTGTGTAATTAAACACTAACTAAATAGCTAAAATCTGTAACTCATGAAACATCATAGCACTATAGAAAGTATGAGTAATTTTTAATAATATAAAATGCTAAACACATTTATTTTTATTTTACATTTTGTAATCTAAACCAAATGAATGCATATATCATACATATTACATTTATTAAATCATTTGAACACAAATTCACCTTAATAAAACATTCATTCGTTTGAAATAATTTTTGCCTCACTGATCTAAATATGCACTGAGACATTTATAAGGAGTTTGACTAGTATTTTTTTCTTCACGTCTTGTTCTCGCATTTCATTTTATAAATGAATGAGTTTGAATTTTATATGCAAACTTGACTATGTGTTTCCGTTGGAAAACACAACAGAGAAGACGTTTGATTGTAAGTAAACACAGAATTTCAGCATTTCATAAAATTTGCATTTCAATCAAATCGGATTATTCCAATATTTCATTGGCTTTCTATCATATTTTGTTATGTGATTCTTGCTTTCTGTCATACCAGAAGAGTGGCAAACTAAGAATAAAATAAATTTCTCTGAGAAAGTATTCAAGATGTTCTTACCCCGAAAGCTCAGCACACTTCACATGACTCAAATCACTGGTTGGAATAATGAATTTCAGACCAGAAAGCACTTTATGCAGTGGCTTGTGCTATTTTGAAAGCTTTTATATGGATTAGTATGCTTCGTGCTCCTCCGCGATTGGATTAGTTATCATTCAAAGGAAAAAGGGAAGATGAAATCATTAAAACAGCAGGCAAATTCAAAGTGTACTTAGAAGAATCTAAAACGGAGAGTCTTTGAAACTCTTAACTTTGTCTTCAAATTTGTAAGTGAATTCTTGGGTATATTATGAGTTTGTCAACATACCTAAATATCCTCATGTACTGATTATCTTGAAAGATGCAAATTAAAAAAAAAAGAAAGATGCAAATTAATCAGAACATCTGCTAAATGGGAATTAAAGTGGTATTTGAGCCTGATACTATAATGACTCATAACATGTCAGAACGTTATATATGCTTGGTGGTGCTCTAGTTCAATGCTCTCATTCAATCAAGTAGGAGGTCCAGAGTTGTGAAGCAGTTTTCCTTCATAGCAATTTGCTATGGCAAAGATGCTGCTTTCTGGGCTCAAGTCTAGGGTTCTGTCCAATATATCAAAATATGTTTCCTTATTTTCTTACCTTAAGTTTTTTCATTTCTGCTTACAACGGATACATTTCTCACCATAAAAATGTAATACATGAGTGAAATAGAAACCATTTTGCTATTCATACAGGATTTTACATTTCTACCCCGACTGGACCAGGAGGGAGACAAGAAAGAGTGGAACTTAGAAGCCTCCCTTTGGACCCCACATCGGAACCAGTCTGCCTCAGCTTCTGGTGTGTTGTGGACACGTGTTAAATGCTGTCTCATTTAATAAATCAACATTGCCTTTCTCAGGCTATCGGGTGTGGATTTCAGTAAGATGTTGACTGAAGTTTTAAAGCATATGCTATTACTTTTCCAATTTAAAAACAACAAAATACTGGTAGATTCCCTTCTCTTCCTCTGCAGTCCACACATTCAAGGGGGGAAAAAAGGTATTTCTAAGTAAAAACCCTAAAATCCATTATCCTCATGTTGTAGGAATCCAAACATTTTTTGCTTGTTTCCAAAATAGGTATTATATGTATGGTGAAAATGTCTATAAATTAAGCATTAATATCAGCAGTGGCCAAAACATGGAGAAGACAATTTTCCAAAGGGAAGGAAATTATGGAGAAAATTGGAATTATGGACAAGTAACATTAAATGAAACAGTTGAATTTAAGGTTTGTTAAACACTTTGTGATTTATACTTGTATTCTTTTTATGACTATGCAATTCTATTCCTAATAGAAGGTGATATAGTGAAAAATAAATTATTTTCTGAAGATAACAAAGTTACTGTCTCTACTTTCCTCATCTACCTGAATTTTTACCATTAAATACTTTATTTTCATTTATGTATTAGCTTATTTAAAAGTACCTATTGAGGAACAATTTCCTATATGAAAATATGGATTATGGTGGTCCGTAGTATCTACTGCAACTCTGTAAGATATTTCAGCTTTTTTCAGCCCTTTTTAAGCATAGACGAACCATCTCTTCCTATTTCCTCCACCTTCCTAGGACTTTCAGCTTTTCACAAACACCACTTAGGTCTTTCCTGTACTTTCCTAGCGAACCATCTTTTCCTCTTAGAACCACTATGCCCATAAGTGTGCAGCCATCCTGCCCCTCTCTGATTTAATCACCATATATTTCCTTTGGAAACAAATTCTATGGGCTGTATCATTGGGAAGCTTCTGATCATTTATTTCACATTAAGGTGAATTAATTTCTCAGATAAGAGTTTAATGTGTTCTCTTCCTAAGGGTCTTTGCAATTAAATTATAGGCAATATAGGCTGTTAGTTTGATCAAATTAACAATGTTCTAATTGGGTAATTTCAAACAAGATAGTATCACTTTTGCAAGATGTATATTTAGACAGACACTGGCTTCCAGTCTCTCCATGACTTGGTGTAGGGCAGGCAAGAGTCTTGACTCCCAAGTGCTTTTCTCCCATCTCCGTCTTTTTCCTTCTCTGCCTTTTTTCTTCTTTCCTTCCTTCTGATTCTATTCTCTTCTATGAAGTTTTCTTTTCCAACTTGCGCATCATTCGAAGAAGGATAAGAAAAAGTTAAACATCCAGAGAACAAAGAGATGGCGGAAGTGTGGAAATCAGTATTGCAGTGGCCAAATCTGGCTCGACGCACTGAGCAACTTTTCTATAGTATTAATAACATAACTGGGTTCTTTTTTTGAGAGTTAGCTCATCAGGTGGATTAGAGTACCAAATTCTATAAATATCCATCCACTTTCTTATGAAATCTTGGGCACATCACTAGAGTCCTCTTGAAATTTTAGTTAATTCATAAACAAAAGGAAGAAAACAGTACTTATCTGGAAAAAGTGTCTGACATAAAGTAGGCCTTCCTCCCAAATCTGGTCTTGTGTCCTCACATGGTATCCCACACCAATACTTGGGGTGAACTGTGACCAGCACCAGCTGACATGAATGTTCATATGATGCTTTCTCTCATTCCCTTCCTTTTCTACTTAAATTATCTGATCAGTGTGTCTTCTCTTCAGGGCTTGCATGTTCTAAGAAGGCAGGCAACTACCTGGATTTGTACTATTGTTGAGAAAAGAGATCTGGGATACAGATGTTCTCACCTGCCAGATTTTGTGCATGTATGACGGAGTACAGTAGCATATGACAAATTCATGAGAGAGAAACAGACAATGATACTAAAAACAACAGCCTTGCCTTACTCATTGGGAAGATATGAGTGAAAATTTGAAAATTTAGCCAGTATAAACGTTACTAAGGGATGTGGGTGGAGTAGAATACCTTAAAAAGCATGAGCCATCAATATTTCACTGTAAAGTAACTGGACATTGTATATTTGGAGATGGCAGTATCGATTCTCCACAGGTTATTGGGCCACAAGAAGGACCAAGTCAGAGAATATTAAAGTGAATTATTCCATATATTTCTTTGAATTGTAGGTTGCTTTTAATGCTTTTAAAAACCGGGTCCTCAGTGATATAGCGTTGGATGATATCAGCCTGACATCTGGGATGTGCAATGAGAGTCTTTATCCAGAACCAACTCCTCTACCAGAACTTCCCAGTAAGTAACTTTAATGTGTATTTTCTCTTAGAATGTCAGTCATATTTTCAGGAAGATCTTGCTTTGGCTTATTTTTGTTATCTCAGCCTAATACTTTTTTCCTAAAAATCCAAGACTTTAAAATACAAGTAAAATGGAGGCTATCAAAAATATTACATGTTATACCTAAAAACAGAATGAAAATCATGCAGTACTTTGTTATAGATCATATTAATAAACTTAGTACCTTTTTATTTTTTAAATAATGAAAGAGGGTGCTGATTTCCTTGAAGTTCTTATGGCCTTCTTAAGAAGAAATTTTAGGAGTTCGGGAAGAGTTTGGTTAAGCCGAAACTCACCAAACCTATATAGTTTTAGTTACCAAACCTATAGTTTATTAACAAAACTAAACCTATAGTTTTAGTTACCAAACCTATAGTTTAGTAACAGTGGTTAATCCTGGACGTAAAACATACAAACCCAGATCACACAAAAGATATTTTTCAAAATGGTGCTTTCATAAGGCTTAAGAATATGCTGCTTTCATGGAATCACCAACATTACACCTCATGACCAGGATTCTCAGTGTTCTATGAGATCTTTTAATTCAAGAAAACAAACTGACTATGCTTTATTTATATATTTATTTTCATGTCAGACTAATGTAAAGGTACAAACAATTAGGTCACACGGTTTACATTTGTTAAGTAGAAGTCCTTACTTGTGTCTCACAACCTGTGCTTGTAAGTCAAACTGAAAACATGGCATTTCAGGGAGACATCCATCACCATTCAAATTATCAACGTCAAAGTGGCAACCACTTCATAGAACTTTCAGATTATAGAATTTAACAGGATATAAAAATAAAACACATAGAATAAATAATAATAAACACCCACTGTCCCTCTTTTGGGGTGTCTTTACTGCATTGTCGTATTTATGCAAAACCATCCGTCTGACTTTGGATGGTGGAGGTTGGGAGTTGGGAGTTGTTCTAGGTCTATGGCTTTGCTGGGGTTGATTGAATGTCATGGATCTGAGGCCATAAAAACAGTACTTTTTCATTTCCCATTTTCTTCCAAGCACACTTGAAACCTTACCAAATTTATATAAGCAAATAAGTTTGCTGAGCCTATCTGAATCTGGTTTTACTCCCCAAACTACATATTTCCCTGCTTTTAAATCTTCAAATTTTAAAAAAGCAGACTTTCCAGATAAATGATCTTAACAATTAATAATTTTTAGAAATAAACATTTGGGAATTTTTAAATCATGAGCTGCCATAAGGTTGAAGATAGTAATCATATTGCTGTGCCTGTCCCATGCCACTAGAGTGAATGGGCACTTACATTTTGCCAAAAGACTAGTTTATTTTACCATCTTATGTACTAACAAGATTAGATGCTTATCTGGGTTGTGCATAAATTATTCCATATTTCAAACCTTCATTCAAATTTTATAAATATCTACTAGGTGCACAGAATTGCATAAGAAATATAAGATGTAGCAATAACCATCAATATATGAAAAAAATTAATATATAAATAAATATTTAAAGCAACATATAACAATGTGCCTCTAAAGTAGGACGCTAGAAAAGTAAGTAATAGAAGAATTCAATGGAGAAAATATGAGCTGGATGCAGCTTTAAGGAAAGATGCAGATTAACAGGAGAATGATACTCATAAAATTGAAGCAAAAGCATTGAGTACCACTCACTCTAAAATTGTGGCAAAAAGTGAGCTTCTGGACATCAAACTCTAGGTCTAATTTACCTTTACTTCACCAGCATCTGGTTCCTAATATCCTAGAAATAAGTGATCATAAATACTATTAAAAAATCATTGTCTTACTTCATGATACAATGTAGGGTATGTGTAGGAGTCCCATTATCTGTTTATTGCAGAGAAGATTTTTATGTAAAAACAACACATTCAAAATCATTAAAATTACCAGTTGGTGGAAAAATAATACCTATAGATACAAATTATTAGCAACATTTTATTATGATGACACTTTAATCATTAAAACAATGCATTTTTTCATAATCCTCTTTACCAATCCATTTCTGTATTGATTAATAAATAGTCAGGAAGAAAAGTTTTCTAGGTTAGAAATAACAGTCTCTCAGGCTCAACTTTAAGATGCAGCAAAATCTTATCATTACCTAAAATAGAAAATTTGAGATAACTTTTGTATATATCATACATGTAAATAAAACTTTAAATGTGGTTTTCCAAATTAAAAATGTATCTATATGACCTAAAAGTCCTCATATTATTCCAATGTCAAGAAAACTTGGTGACTTTGCACATTTTAACAATAGGGAAATTGTAATGGTAGAATAACCCATCTGATTTCAAAATATAAGCTTTAGAATCTATCCAGAGTGTATTTGTTCCAGTTTCCAAATGACTCGCTTCACAGCATTATTTAGCACAGTAGAAAATGTTAATTACCATCAAATGCATTCTGAACGATTTCATTCCAATGCCATTTGCAATTGGTTCAGTGAAATTCTTATTTGAACAGAGCTTCTCTGGTTCCAGATCGCTGATTTGCTTAGGCAGAAATAAAAAGAAATCATGGCTGACTGGCTGCTAGCCTTTCTTTGGTTCTTTACAGAGCACTTAAATAAGAAAATAATCCCAAACAAGTAACTGAATAATAAAGTTCAGTCTCCTCCCTAGTTCTTAGGGATCTATCTACTTTGGACCCTCTTTGAGGAATTGTCGGTTCAGTTTCCTTAACCACAGGGATTCTTCCATTTTGTGACTTCAGCTATTTGCTGGTGCATCAAATTGGGATTGTTGTCCTGTGACATTGACACTAATTAATTTAAATGTGGAGATTGTACTAAGAACTCTGAGACAGTAAACATTCCATTACATGAATGTCATGCTAATTTGCAAGACAATTTTAAAGATTCATGAAAAGATACCTACTGAACAGAATAGATATATACCAAAAGATATCCACGTTTCAGGCCCCTGAATTGTATCTGGGGCTTAAAACTAATTAATGAAAAAAGGCCAAGCTATAGTTTTAATTACTTTAACGTTCACTCTTTATTTCTACAGTTTTGCTCTATATGGACATTATTTAACCATTTTCCATTTTCAAATCTTAAAGTTATTTGGAATGTTTGGTAGACATGACATTATACTTAGAGTTAAATAATCTAACTTTAGCTCCTCATGAGCTAGAAATGAATCAGTATCTATCTACCTCTTTTACAATTGATAGCCATATTCAGCAGAGCTACTGGCTTTTTACATCACTAATGTAAATTAATAGTCAAAGCCATGGTAAATTCCATATTAACTCTATTCATCTATTCTGTTATTTTGTTTTGGGCTGTCCTATGTTGGGTTTTTGTTTGTTTGCTTTTTAGAGAAAGGGTCTCATTGTGCATGAGGGCAGTGACATGATCACAGCTTATTGCAACCAGGAAGCCCTTTGCTCAAGCAATATTCCTGCCTCAGTGCCTTGAGTAGCTGAGATAGGTACATGCCACCATGCTTAGCTAATATTTTTTATTCTTATTTTTTGTAGAGGTGGGGTCTTGCTATATTGTTCAAGCTGATCTCAAACTCCTGGCCTCAAGAAATCCTCCTGCCTCAACTTCCCAAAGTGCTAGGGCTACAGGAGTGAGCCACCACTCTTAGCCCTATTTTGTTGTAATCATTTTTGCCCATCAAATCTATAGCCTGAGATATATGCAGTAGCACAAATCTGTAGTCCCATGTACTCAGGAGGCAGAAGCAAGAAGATTGCTTGAGGACAGGGGTTCAGGTCTGTAGTGCACTTGCGAATAGCCACTGTACTCTGGCCTGGACAGGATAGCAAGACCCTATTTCAAAAGAAACATCCCCCCAAAACAACAAAGAACCTAATAGCATACATTTTAGAGCTATCATTGGCTGGATTTTTATTAATAACCAAATTTAGAATATAGAAATAAAAATTTGAACTTTATTGTCACAAATGTAATAATATTAACATCAGGTTGGTACTGCTAATTGTTAATGAAATATATTTAAAAAACTGAATACAAAATTTTCCTGTTTTAGATGGCAATCTAAACTTTTAAAATTCTGTCTATAATTCTGAAAAAATTTGTGATCTATTATTGTGATAATAAAAAATAATTATTCATTTCAAAAATTGGCCCCTTTCAACATATTCAAACCTCAGTAAGAGATATTATTTCTCAAACTAAATCTATTATTTCCCTTGTGTAACAGTATTAGTCAAAAACCTATTTTCCATATCCTCATTTCTTGTTGGGCCAGAAGTATCTTTAATTCAAATCCTCTTATTAGAAGTGAAAGCTAAACTCTCTTACTTTCTGCTCCACGGTAAAAGCTGACACGTATCTCACGAGGTCAGAAACTTAAGCATAGATTAAAAATGGCATGCCTCAAGGAAAGTATCTATTCCTGACAATCACTTTGCCAAATACTGCATGTTATTTACATAGTATATGTAGTGAAAATCCCTACTGGCATGGAAAGAAATTAATCAGAATACAAATGTCTGGGAGAATAGAAAAGGGAGAATGAAAAAGTTTCACATTATAAATGAATAGAACTTCCTTTATCAGACAGGCAATTTTACTCTTATCCCCTAGTGGGGATGGTTTATCTAATGACACTGTATGACTGTGATCTCTGGAATTACATTTCATGAATCTTGCTCTTCTATCAAGAAGCATCTGCCATGTCTCCGCTATAGCAACACCACCATTAAAATAAATGGTGTCATCACCTTTAGAATGGCTTAAAGTGCTTTTGCCAATTCCTTACAGTCCTTTATGTGCAGAGAGTTACTGATATACTTTATTAGGCTGAGGATCAGAGGCATCTTACTGGTCAGTTATTTGACATAAAATTGTAATTCAAAAGCATTTCCAAAAGTACCTTGTAAGTATTTTAAAGGAACAAATTTTCCAAGACTTCCATTTCATGGAGAAATGCTAAGTAAACTGCCTGCCTTGACAGGCTTGACAACTGCACTTGACAAAAATTGAGTTCTGGTTGTTTGTGTAGTGAAGTCCTCCCTGCTCATCTCCATATATGATGCACTAAGTGTTCGGTGATGTGAAAAATTCAATGCATTTTCCAAATGTTGGCTATTTACTGGATTAAGAATGGAAGGTTTTGAAATTTTCCTGTTCCTTGAAGAGAAAATGAAAATAATGGTTAAAACAAGATTAAAAAAGATTGGTCCCAGCTCCCCGTGTGAAATAGGCAGAGCCGGCTTTCCCCAGTGTGCTGTGTCCCTGCAGTTACACTTGCCCTCACGCTCTGGTCTCATTAAGGATTAAAGGAAACATTTTGTAGTAGTCGATCATATTAAAATTAAATGTGTTATGTATATATGTAGGGAGGTTATACAATTATGATAGATCCTTCTTCTGAGATCTTTGCAAATTAGTTTCCTAACCATAAAGAACATTAGTTTACATTGGACAACCTGCCCTTACTTCTGTATTACTGTTCATTGTTTAGTAAAAATGCCTTTAGCCCTTTGTGTACAATGATTTCTTCCTTCCAGATCTATCCATCCTTGACCTTACTTGTCAGTGCTTTCATCCACATTCCCTTCTGCCTGTCTCTTTTTTTTTTTTTTTTTCCTGGCCAGGGCTGGGTTTGAACCTGCCACCTCCAGCACATGGGGCTGGCACCCCACCCCTTTGAGCCATAGGTACCGCCCTGCCTATCTTTTTTTTATTATATATCTTTTTATATATAAATGCCACTTACCGAGACTCAATATAAGCCCTACCTATGGCATGGGCCAGATGAGAGTTTAATCATCCCATGGGAGACAGTTAAGTGCTATAGGTTGAGCTTGAGACTGACTGAGTTGAGGTGTGTACTTTGACACCAGTTGTATATATATAGCATTAGCAAGTAACTGAACGTCTCTAATTCTCTGATAGTCCATTTAAAACTGAAATAGTAATAGTAAGTATTAATTATTAATACCTAATCCACAAGGATGGTTTGAAAACTGGTACTGAGTATGCCAGGGAATGCATAAGCATTTTTAATAAATTATCTCTGATTTTTACATTAACCCTCCCAAAATATTCTTAATATGTATCTCTACATGTCTCCAATAGACAACTAGCTCAGAGCCACAATTTCAATTTAGCAGCTCCGACACATCTTCCTTTTCTATGCCTTATTCTCTCTCCAGGTGAGACAATATACATACAAATACTTTGCAAAGAATAAGGTATTTTAAGAGGTTTTACTATTTTGATGGGTTTATCTGGGTCTGAACAAATCTGCCCCAGGAAGGCGTATTAAGACAAGACCATGCTCTACTAGCTTACAGGAGCTGAGATGTTGGCAAGAATTGAGTTAAAGTATAGTTCATCCCATGATACACATGAAATTCAAACTTAAGAAGTTTGTTACTTACAAAGTTGGAAGAGTCACATGAATTTCAAATTATCTCCATAAATAAACAAGATGATGGTAAAGTGTATGACTGAAAGCGCTATTCTGTATGTAGAGACACTTGATTAATCCTCCCATAATCTGATTCTTATTGGGGATAAATAATTTCAGTATCATCTATCCTTAATTATAGGAATTCTATATTCTTCCAAATAAATTACATTTATTTGCTTGATCACATATATATATTTTTATTTATTTATTTATTTTTGCCAGGGCTGAGTTTGAACTGCCACCTCCAGTGTATGAGGCTGGTGTCCTACTCCTTTGAGCCAGAGGCACCACCCAAATCTAGAGCATATTTTTTAACATAACAATGGAAACAAGAATAAGATAGAATTGGGATAAAGTGGTAGATAAAATTTTACATTGTCATTTGTTTCTGTAAATAGGGAGATAAATATAAAATATGCTTAAAATTTCATAGTTAATACACCTACTTAAAACAACATATTCTGAGTTGGAAGATCCATATTTTTTTGTTCTAATAAATGTACCCTATACTCAGCCAACTGGACTTCAGGACAATGCTGGCTACCAGATCAGTCCTGGGCAGTTATTAAGCAAGTACAGTTGAGTTTGTGTCCCTTTCCAAACTGTCAAATTCTTCAATATACAGGATAGTGAGGCTTCCCCCAGCCCCAGCTAAAGAAGAAAGATATCAAAAAGAAAGGAAAAAACAAGAAGTGCAGGATTAATGATTTACTAGCCCTTTTTATAAGAATGACTAGCAGATAGAGCAGTGTTTTTCAGCTTTCTTATCTCATGGCGCACTTGAACTCATCCACAGCACACTTAAATTATGTTGATCAAATAAAAGAGCTAAAAAAATGAATATACTTAATTGTGCTCTGAATTATTTTCAAAACTAATTTAGTTAATGATCTTTAAAAATTTTTGTGGTGCACCTAAGATCCTCTCACGGCACATAGGTTGAAAACACTTGAGATAGAAGATTTGTTCAATTACATACATTCATTGTTTTCTACAACAGGGATTTTATATCTAATGTCACAAAGTGTGTTCATAAAAGATGACTGGCAAAATGTCTCTTTGCACAAATAATCTTGGAATGAGCTACGCACTGTTATGCTGTCTTGGACATTTACATTAAAGGCTTTGAGAAGATCTTTATTAAAGAGACCTATTTACCTGTATTTTTCCCTTCCTTAATTTGCAAGGTTTTTCCTTGCACAAAAGCTAAAATGTATCTGACAAAGCTAGAAGTCTAAGAAATATAACTGGAAATTTTGTAGCATACAATATTATTGCTCTGCAATAAACAGTGTGTTACTAATGTTTTTTTCATTGCTTTCCATTTCAGCGGACTGTGGAGGACCTTTTGAACTATGGGAGCCAAATACAACATTCAGTTCTACGAACTTTCCAAATGGCTACCCCAATGGGGCTTTCTGTGAGTCATTTCTTTTCTAGATCATCAAAAACAAATATACACGTCAAGATTAGATGCCTCTCTTGACACAGCAAAGTAGATTATGAATTCGTCAAACACAGAAGTACCTACTATGTCTACCTACGAGCTTGCTTAATGGAACATCCAAAACAAGAATAATAATTGCTAAACATTTTTAGGATTTATTTTATTCCAGGCACTATGCTAATGCCTAATATACACTAAATCGATCAGTTCTCACAATCACACTTTGAAGGAGGTGCCATTAGTATAATTCTAACTTTAGAAGTTGAATAATGACAGTGAAAGAGCCAGCCTCACTCCTGACACAGCTCTCTCTCTAAATCACTAAATCACTCACCTTGTTTACACATGTAATGTCTATAGTGTGTTTAACCAGTTTGCAATTCCATAGAACAAATTCGCTGGAAAGTATTAAAAAGTCAGTTGTGACACCCGTACCTTTAGTAAATATTATATAGTAGAGTCAAATAAAGGAGACAGTAATGCGATTAGATTCCCAGGATAAAAAGTAAAATTATAATGAGGGTCACTAAACAATCTAAATTTAGAGAGAAGAATAGTTCCCTAGAACTGCACGAAGGCTATCTTTAGGTCAAGATTCCTAACTAGAGAAACTCACCTCAAGCTGCACAGACATTGTGTTAAAGATGCACTTTCCCCAGCCCAGCCTACAGGATTCCACTTTGGCAAATCTGGAAACTTGCCTGGTTAGAAACACTGATGTAAAGGGAGAGTTCTGCTAGTTAGTCAATGGCAGTGAAAAATGTGTTGCTAGAAAATGCCAACTTTCCTTCCTTCAGATGCTCAGAAGATAAGTAAGCATCACTTTCATGGGTGAATAGGGTCACTATTATAGGGAGATATCTGATCCAAAATAATAAACAGCCATTAATCTCACCTGTCTTAGATGATCATCTCTTCTTCACACCAAAGACACCTTTTCAACATATCACTTGAACAAAGTACTGATCTGAAAAATCCCCAAAGCCTTGGAACATTAAAACAGCAATTTGAAGGCATTTACTAGTTTTTATATATTAAAAAGAAGACATGGAGGGGTGGTGCCTGTGGCTCAAAGGAGTAGGGCACAGGCTCCATATGCCAGAGGTGGTGGGTTCAAACCCAGACCTGGCCAAAAACTAAAAAAAAAAAAAAAAAAAAATTATTTAGTACTTTGTTAGCTCTGAAGTAAGTAAAGAAGAAACAAACAGAGCCCACTGCAGATGGGCATTCAGAAAAATTCTGAGGCATTCAAAACATCCAAGACACTGTTAAAATAAGAGTGAAGATAGGATGCTTGGAGAGACACAGAGAATCCTTGATATACTTTTTCTTGACTCTCCATGGAAAATTAAATAATTGTAACAGGTAAAATTAGAAGTGCGAATGGATTTTGCACCATGTTATGACATTTGGGTTTGATTCTGAGAGCACTGGTGACGTTTAGAAGAACTTACAGGGAAATAGTGATAAAATTAAGAGTGTATTTTAGATAGATCTGTCTAGCTATAGTATCAGAAAAGATGGCAAGGGAAGAGAGACATTAGTGTTGTGCCCAAGTCGCAAAGTCCCCCATAAATTACTCTGAGATGGCTCCATGCAAAAGGCAAGAGGCGGTTTTATTATCAGACTGGAGTCAGGGCCTTCTACTCTTCCCGTCACAGCAGGAGAGCGGAAGAGCCCTGATTCGAAAATGGAAGGGTGCTTTAAGGGGTACAGAAAGAAAGAAGGGAGGGGTAGTACTTGTCTTAAGCTGATTGGTCTGGGTAGATGCTGTACAAGGGGGCAAGTTATGGGACATGTGCACAGTGGGGCGAAGACAAAGAAAGGGGTGGGGGGTTACACAACTTGTCTGGTATGCAGCTTCTCTAAGTACAGCATAGGGAGTAAACACAACGTCCTTGAGATGCAGGTGCAGCCTGAAGCTCTGGGTATGGGCAGTTTAGGGAGTAGTTAAAATAAAGTTAGTTTTGGCCTTTACATTAGCACGACCAATTACAAGATGAGAAACAACAGCGAAGTAACTCTGATAGTGGCAAAAGATGTTGGAAGTACATGGGGTTCAAGGGCTAGAGGAGGTAGTAAAGACAACGGTGATTGGTTGGTCGCAGGAGCGAGGAGATCAAGGAAGACGTCCAGGTTTCTGGTGTAGGCGACAGCGAGTGAAAAATTAGTGGTGCCATCAACTGTGAGAGGAAGAATAAGAAGAGCGATGAATGTGAGAAAGAGGCAGTTTCCTATTTCCTTTTGAATATGTTAGATTTGTGATATGTATATCGATATAGAGTAAATAATTAGATCAAATTTTCTTTATCTCAAAAAGAAGCACAGCAAATAAAGGCTTAGGAGTCCTGACAATGTAGATGAAGTTCTCTTCCTTCGTGGTGAATGAGAACACTCAGACAGAACAAGAAATGGCCTAGAATAGAAGCAGGAAACCAAATCATTTAAAAAATTAAAAAAAAAAAAGGCTTGTTTATGGATGCTGATGATTTTTTTGTTTGTTTTGCTATTTGAAAGTGCAGCTTACAACATAATATAAATAAATACAGGAAGCATTTAAATAAACATCAAAGCTTACGTACCCTATAATGACATTTTAATCATCTAATTTTCTTCTAAATTAGTCAAGGTAAATTAAATGAATGAAACTAGGATATCAATAACTTTTGATACTTATAAATTTTATAGTGTGGAGTAAAAGCTATTTTGCAACCTTTGATTAAAATATTCTATTTTATATAAAACAAATTTCATTATACTAAATGATTTCAAGTTTAATTAAAATTTTGCTATAAATATTCTTTACTAAACCGATGCATTTTCTCACCAAAAAGAAAAAACAATGGCGTGGAATATTGGTTTTCATGGAATGGAAAAAAAAATCTTTGAAAATGATTAAAAATCTCAAGACAGTAACGCTTTTAAAGGAAATCAAAAGTGTCTTCCCAGTTAAGTGTTGTTATTTATTACTTTGAAGGTGTTTGGAACTTAAATGCACAAAAAGGAAAAAATATACAGCTTCATTTTCAAGAATTTGACTTAGAAAATGTTGCAGATGTAGTTGAAATCAGAGATGGAGGAGAAGATGGTTCCGTACTCTTAGGTAAGTCTGCAACCTGAGTATTGTGAAGGTGGCAGAGCTCGAGATGTTGCACCACTAGAGAATGTCTCAAGAAATGTCACACTTTACAACCAACAAACGAAAATACAGCAGTCAGGCAGCATGAGTTTATGTGGTGCTTTCAGTTTTGCTTTCATGTTTGCAACAGTGACAAAATAATATTCTCGGGCATTCTTGGCAAAGAATGTCATCAGTTCTTACCAGTTGGCATTAATTGCCTCTAATAAGCTCTATACCTTGGAGAGTAAGAGCTGAGGACCCCCCCCCCCCGTGCAGTGGTCCACACATCACATGTACATCGATGTCCTAATCAGTTTTATTTCACTTCTGACTATGCAAACAAATTGTGTTTGTTGTACAAAATTCTTTAAATGATTTTTATTTTACATTTTATTATTATTTGATTGGCTATGTCTCTAGTACTTGATATTTCCATATAAATGTCTAAGAATGACCATAAATTAAACAATGTTGATTTTCCCTATTACTTCTTCATTTTTTTTTTTACTAAATACGGAAGGTTAGTACTGTTTGAGAGGAAATTTTTGTGCCTAGATTATAAAATATATGTTGATTTAGAAAGCTATCAAGCAAAATAGCTAATCTTCTGATAAATTATATTAATATATTAAATTATAAACATGCTTAAATGATCAGCTGGAATAAATGAACACACTTTACACCTAAAAGTATTTTATCTAACTCTGCTTTAATCTCATGTTAATCATTTACTATAAACTCTGCCCCTGTCCCTGGTAGCTATGCTATCAAGATGCAATTATATGAACATTGTAACCGATGGATAAAGACTCCAGAGGGAACTTTCTCAAGCATCCAGAGAAGGGGGAGATGGCAGAGAGAGTTCCCCAGCCGTATAATCCATCAGGCCTTTTATGTAGAATTCTTCAATAAAATCCCACAACACTCCAGAATACAAACTTCTTGGGAGAGATTTTGAGAGCCACAAACAGACCAAATAAACAACAAAAAGTCTTGCTGGAAGGAGGAGGCTAGCAAGAACAGAGGAACTTCGAATTTGTTTTTTGTATATACATTTATAAACACATGTTGATTAGTTTTCCAAGTATCAGTTAAAGTTATTCTGATAAAAACTTCAGAGTTCTTCTTATGATAGAAGAAAAATGTAAAAATTTCCATTTCACCTCTTAATATTAATGCTGAAATATTAAAAAGCAAATAAGAATTCTAAAAGGTTCTTAGAATTATGGTTTTCAAATTTGTAGGCAGGGAGTTCTTTTGAAACAGAATCACTTTCAGGGCTTCCAATACGTAAAATATTTTAAAAAATGGATGTACTGTTTTTTTTCTTTTCAGACAGGGTCTCCCAGTATTGCCAAAACTAGAGGGTAGTGGCCTCAACACAATTCACTGCAACTTGAGCTCATAGGCTCAAGTGATCCTCCTGCCCCAGCCTCCCAAGAAGACAGGAATAGAGGCATGCACCACACTCAGCTATTTTTTTTTTTTTTATTTTTTATAGAGACAAGGTGGTCTGGAACTCCTGGCCTCAAGCGATCCTCTCATCTGGGCTTCTCAAAGTGCTGGGGTTATAGGTGTGAGCCACCATGCTCAACCTAAATGTATTTTTTACTTAGCTGAAATATTGTTTGACAAGGGGGGTTTCATTATTTATGAAATGCCCAGGCCCAAGGATTAGTAGCAAATCATTTAAAAACCACCGTGTGGGTTTGTATTATCTATCTCTAATTAATACATCCTTCACGTTAGGTTTATGATTCAACTCACAAAAAATACCAAATTAATTTGGTCAAAAATTAATAAAGGAGACTGTAATCTCCATTGCTTTATAAAGGTCTTTAATCAGTCATTTCTCTGGGATAACATGATCTTTGAATATCAGTGGTGCTAAACCAGATAATATTATGCATAATTCATCATTAAATCACAGAGGTGCAGAAATAGCAAGTAATATGAAAAAGATGAAAGAAGAAGCTGGTTTTGTTGAGGCAGTGTCAACACGTGAAAGACACGTACACATTTATTTACTGAAGCTGCTTCACGAGCAAGCCACGCAGGGAAGCCGTGCAGGTGTAACTGAAATAAGGAGGCGCTGCATCTTATTCCAGATTCAAAAGGCATCTCCCTGATTATCTAATTTTCCTCTGAAACAGCTGTGTACACAGGACCTGGTCCAGTAAAGGACGTCTTCTCTACCACCAGCAGAATGACTGTGCTTTTAATCACTGACCAAACTTTGGCAAGAGGAGGGTTTAAAGCAAACTTCACTACTGGCTATCACTTGGGTAGTCCAGGTAAGATCCTTGAGATCATACATTGCATAATAACTTTTAAAAGAAAACAAAAAAAGTGTTCAGGATTTCAAGGTCTAAATCATGATTCAGTGTTCGCCTTCTAAGACACGTTCTCACCGTAAGGAAGATTCTCTTCTATCTGTATAACCATCATTTGACTTTGTTCAAGGCAGGAATATCGTGTGTAACAGTTTCCAGCAGATTTAGTTGCACTTCTCCGCTGTGCAAGGAGTCCTGAGTTTTTCTCACTGAAGGGGGTTGCATGAAACATTAAATTCAGGCATTTGGTTCTATAATGAAGGAAGACTATTGGGTTAACTTTGCCAAGAGCATTTTTCGACAGCCAAGGAGAAAACAGGCAATTGAGCTGCTGGAATGCCAACAACATTTAATTAAAAAATTAGCACCATTAACTTATTAGAGACAACCAGTGTAAAGCACTGCAGTGAAGGAATTTAATGCTATTTACCGGCACGCACAACCTTCTCACCCGTATATTTTATTATTTCTATAATACAATCAGCAGGAGCAAACAAAATATTAGCCTGCTCTTCATGGAGATCTCTGCACTTGAGGATGTTTATGTGTGTGTTTCTTTATATTCAATATGCGCAAGATACACTTTTTCACTCAAAACTCTACAGAGAAATTCCTAAAACCTTGTTGCTCCACTCAGGCTATGGCTTTTCTTATACAACTGCCCCACCTTGCTGGTTCTTCTAGGAGCAAATACATCAGAAGCTCCATCTCTGATTTCTGCTCTCTAGCAAATAAGGAACTTAACCTGTATCTGGTCTAACCTCTGACGCTAAAAATGAGTCACAGTTTTTATTATTCATACTACTTATGTAGAAGTGAGTGGCAATCCAATTAATTAATCAGTTCTTATGCGTTTTGTGATTGGTTTTAGTAACCTAACTTTTGTTTATAAGCAGCAGTGATGTGGACCACCAAAAAGAAAGTCAACTTGTAAAGTAAATAAATAAACATTAATATCTATGAAAAAATAGACAACATAAGGAAAAAAATGAAGACTTCGCTAGCCATAGAAAGTTACATTTCATCTCACAATAAAGTACAAGAAAAAAGAAAACGGTAGAACCTACATAAGTTGACAACCCAAGGGACTATAACAAACTGGCCAACATACAGAGGTGGTGATAAGCAATGAGGTCTACTGTACTAAAGTGTACAAATCGTGCATGTCTGGTCTATGAAGATTAGGTCACCTTAAGGAGACGGTCAACGTAGGGAAGTGATTAACTGCAGAAGTCCTACAGAATAGAACATTACATGAGTTAGGTAGAAAAGAGGAGAATGCATTGACCTGGGAATATCAACAAATATGTGTTTATGTAAATATGTGTGTGTGCAGTTATGTATGTATTTGTGTGTAATCAGAATCTAATGTAGAAAAAATTAAATCATTATTTTGGATAATATTTATCAAGATAATTTTGAAGATGTCAGTTTGAAGAGATTCACCTTGATCCTGTCCGTTGTTAATTTTTTTGCTGCTCATCAGAGCCACGTTTGTCTTTCAATATTTTATCTACCATTTCAGTTTCTTTCTCTTTGTGATGTACATATTATTTTAATTTTTAATTTAGCACCATATTTGATTTAACTTATCATTTGGCTTTTCTAATGATACTTTTAAAGTATACATGGACATCGATGAAAGTTTGTTAGTTAATGTTTAATTCTTTTAAGATAAAACAGACTGGGTGAGACTGGCTCATTGCATAACTTTTTAAACATTCTAGTGCCAAAAAACTCACATCTCCACATTGTTTGATAAAAGCTAATTTGCTTTTATACATAGTGTAAATTAACTAATAAGAAACACTGGGTTAACAGAATAAAACCCAAAATGGTTTCAAAATTATACTTGAAATTATGACTTTAATTTTTTAAATTAATATGCAATGTTTAGCTCCTGGTAAAATAATCCTTGCTCAGCACCTGCTCCCATAAATGACATTACAACCAACGTAGTCTTCTCCCTAGAAATTTGTGAAATTATGGCCTTCTTTGGCAAGAGCAGTTTTCTGTGAAATTCTGACATGATCAGATTATTCTTTCTGATTATATTTGAGGTTTTTGTAAATGGGATGAACCACAGAGTTTTCTGGTTCATTGCATAACTTTTTGAACATTCTAGTGCCAAAATACTCACATCTGCCCCAAAGTTGCTGCAGGAAAGCGTGATGAAGAGTGCAAAGCAACAGGTACAGAAATGGAAACATCTGAGACTCCAGAACAGGCAGGCAGGAGATCTCACATATGAACGAGAACATACGACTTTCCTCTTTCTGTGCCTGGTTTAATTTCCTCCACTTCCATGCATGTTGTTTCAAATAACAGAAGTTCATTCCTTTTTGCAGCAGAATACTATGTCATTGGGTGTCTGCGCCGTGATTGCTTTATCTATTTATCCCCTGAGGGATGCTAAGCTTGATTCCATATCTTGACTCTTGTGAATAGAGCTGCAGTAAATACAGGAGCATGGCTCTCTCTTCTGCAGACTGATCTCCTCTCTTGTGGATGTTGTTAGCGTTTTCCTTAGTGGCTGTACTTTTTGCAATCTCACCAGGGCTGTACGGCTGTGCCCCTTTCTCTACATCCTTGCCAGTATTTGCTATATTGTGTTTCACGTTTTTACAATGAAATAATTAGAGCAGCAAAGATTTTTCTAGAAAATATTATAAGTAATTTTTATTCAAGATAAAACTCCAAAAAGCATAATCTACTGTTCTCAGCACAAAAGAGATACCAAGTATTTGTTTGCCTTATAGCTAGATTTTAGTTCCTATTGTTATTTATGAAGTTGTTTTAAAGAGACAATTCCCTGGATTGAAGTGAAACTGGACTCTCCCATGACCAGCACTCTATGGAGAATGTGCTAGAACTGTACCTCCCCATCCCTCCTGGACACGGGAAAGATGTTGCTGGGGAGGGGGATATGGGGTGACTGAGTTGTCATCAGCACAGTCTTACTCCATGGGAGAGATTTCTAAAGCAAAAGACTGCAAACCACTTACAGATACATGGATTTGGCTGGGGTTAAGAGGAAGAGAGATCGGGATTTTATTGGTTCTCTGCTTTAGTGGTATCAAAATTGGTTTTGGCATCTGCTTTGCTTATCTTCTGAGATATTTTAGGGACACCTTCCAAGGCAAATACTTAAAATATGTATCGCACAATTAGGGTGTCTCTAAGTTTGTGTGCAACTTAAAATAAACAACTATTTGTCTATACAGAGATGCCCTGTACTCTGTATTTTTATTTTTCTATCTCCGTTTCTTTGTCTTCTTAATATCTCTGTTGCCATTGAATTGGAATATATGTGATATAGATTCATTAAGATTTGTCTTTTTTAAGTGTGACTCACTGCTCTTTTCTGATACTCCGACCCTTACCATGGAATTCAATAGTGCTTATCAGACAACTGTGGAAGTGGCAGCTGATTAGATTCAGGGGTTTAGAGCCCTCCCCAGATTGTGTGGCGTGTGCCTTGGAGATCAATTTGCTTCCGTTTAAAACGAAACATATGTTGACTAAATGAGGCAGGGCTACTAGAGACTTCATAAAAAGGAGATGGGGAAATTCAATTCTTAGCAATATTTCTTTCCCTTCTCTCACTGTGGGCATAAAACTATCAGAAATAAGATTTCAGAGTCCAGAGAGAATTGAACTATTGGATTAAAGATTTCTTAATGAAGCTGAACTACTTTATGAAGCAAAGTATCAAAATCCAGTTTATGCATGGAAGGAACAATTTGTAAAAGCTTATTTATCCTCTCCTTAGATTTTATAATTTCTACTCAGTTCAGCAACAATGGATCAATTTTCTCCATTCAACCTTTTTTCACTCGATTTGTTTAGTTTACAGAAACAAGTTATGTTTTCCTGGAGTCACAGACTATGCTCCCAATAGCTTTCAATTTTCAGGTACATGTTTTCATTCAAATTGTTATTGAGCTATTTAAATTTGTTTCCATTGAACTAGTATGTGCTTTCCCAATTAAATAAAGCCTAACTACATTAGTAAGAGTATAATTATCAATAAATTTATCTATAATTAAATCATTGTCATTGAGAACTCATTTTTATAATGATTTTAATAAGCTGTGAAAAAAGCAATAATATAATTTATATATAACTTATGGTGACTAACATTCTATAAATATATTAAGATATTTGATCATGGACATGGCATTAGTGCTGTCAACTTTTTAAATAAATATAATATATAAAAGTATATATTTAAATAGAATATATGAACACAAATACCTGTGTACCTAGTTTAAAGTCTTTCTGTTTTCTAAAGGAAAACTATTACTAAAAAGATAAAGTCAGTTAAAATATTCATACTTGCATGGAGAATACATAATTGTCTTTGCCCATTTGTCATATAACTAATCTGATTAAAATAAATGTGCTTGTGAAATAAATTGATAATTACATTTATAATAGCCTTCCTAGTAGTATTATATTTTGATATGTGCACCCAACTTTTCTCATGGTAGGAAAGTCTGTATAAACAGACATGCTTCCTTAAAATATTTCCTTATTAAGATAACTTAGATTTGGGTTGAAAAGCACAGAATTTTTCAAAGCTTAAAATGCAATGTACAAATAACCTCAGCAATCATTGCAAAATACCAAAAGGAGAGGATTAGTTATGTTTTCTTGTTTATCTGGTTCTTTGAAAAGGAAAGTAGCACAACTAACACATGGATTATGAATGTTAAAAATATTAGTGAAAAGTGGGGCATGGTGGCTCACACCTGTAATCCCAGGACTCTAAGAGGCCAAGGCAGGAATTCAAGACCAGCCTGAGCAAAGTGAGACTTGTCTCTACTAAAAATAGAAAAATTAGCTAGGTGTCCTGGCAAGTACCTGTTGTCCCCCCTGCTTGGGAGACTAAGGCAGGAGGATCATTTCGACCCAGGAGTTTGAGGTTCCTGTGAGCAAGGCAGACACCACAGCACCCT